TCCGGCCTCGTCTCTTTCTCTCTGTGCATGGATCACTCTAAAACTTCGTGGTCTCTCGATTTTGTACCTCGGCTAGTCAATTGCAGGCTACAATTTTGTCTATCGTTAGACCAGTACTGATCGTTGTGGGTGGAGAGAGAGAAGGAACAACGAGAACCTTGTTGGTCGAATTCTTGAATCGTTTCACCGATGAATGTTCTTCTCTCGAAATAACTGGTGGTGACTAACAGGTCTTCTTCGGTATTTCTCACTGCAAATCGAAAATCCCCGCAAATTGTATTGAAGTTCATCTCTGGATCGCACAATCGTCTCGCTCTTGGAGGGACGAGACTCGGAACCCACAACTCGAGGAAATTCCCGAACCTCGCTCGACTGGTATAAAATTGAGAGCAACGCGGGCAGATTAGGCGTCGCAGGTAGCGAAAGAATGAAGCGGAGACACATCGGTTTTGCTCGAAAATTCAGGAGTTGTTCGAGCCGGCCTGACTTCGAGCCTCAAAGGGTTCGGACGTAGACTTCATTCTCGTGACCTGGTCGCGTAACATTTACGACGGGCAATAAAACGAAATAAAGGCAGGGAGAATTATGCAGAAAAGTGCGACTCGTCAATGATGATGGTTCAGACGTGGTGAGGGGCCAGCTGAGGAGTGCGTGACGAAAGGCGGACATGCAAAGCAGGCCTCATTGAGCATTCATTGAGTGACGAGAAACGAAAGAACAGAGGAAGAACCTTCCCGGCGCCGGGTACTGTCGCCTGGGCCGCAGATCCGACAGCCGAGGTAGAAGACGGCATTGACATTCGAGGATCCGATGTCCTCGGTGTCACGGGTTTTCTCAAGTCACACAATCGATTCTCTTCTAGTTCGAATGAACGGTGGTTCGTCGAGAGGATTTTTTCCGACGGCGATTTCATCTCCGCAAGTCATTATCCCGGAGAGATGGTCACAGGTCCATGGTGCCTTTATTTCCCAGTCGCATGAAAGAATCACCCCCTTTCCGGGAATATTCTCGCTCGCGGTTTGGAAGGCCGCGGGAGGAAAAGTGAAAGCGGGGTCAAGAGTCAAGAGAAATATTTCACCCAGGCTCGGGCTCGACGACGACCGTGATTACGACGGCCGGGATTTGACTGAAACTCCAGACCTAGGCAGCGCACTCTACCCACATCTTCGCATACATAAACCCGAACTCACACACGCACGCACGCTGACTCGCTCACAACAGCGGCTCATCCGAGCTTTCATATATTACCGCATGCAGGGTCGGAATATTTTTTCGATTTCAAATTCCTTTGTAGGCTCACGAATGTTTTGCCGATTTCTCAACTTTTAATTCGACGATCCACCAACCACAAGACTGAGTTCTTCTCGAAGGCGATCTCATAAGATATATTGGGACGCTTTTCCGCCTCATGACCTTGAACACAACCTGGCCCAGGCTGGACAACGAGTCGACCTTCGGATGTGTCGAAGCGTCCATTGGACATTACCTGCCGCATTTCGCGCAGAATCCATTCCTCCAGTACAGTAGGGTGCGACAGCACGGCGCAGCATTCGTGTTTGGGCCTACTTTCCATTTCAGGGATTTAAAAACGATCCACGAAAATACCTTGCTTTTGCCTCTTCCTCTTCCTTCTCCACCTTTGCCGAATTCAAATTCTGCCTTCTTGAGAAACAAAAAAGCAGCGGAGCCTCAGATCAGCGCATTGTGATGCCTCACATTTTTCATTGGCTTCATGAGTCGGAGAAGTCGCCCGATGACATCTCGGGACGCAAAAAGGCATTTATCATGCAGGGGTTTTTTGGAAGCGGTCCAAGAAGCACCTCCCGTTGTTTCTGTAATTCGTCTCGGCTCGAGTCCTTTTCCGTCGTTCCACCCGCGTTCGCAACTTCAGACACCGCGACGACATCTACCCTCGATGGGGATGGGAAATCACGTAATTCGGGCTCGAAGGATGTGATCTTCTTCGACAAAAGGGGTAATTTCTCCCCGTTCATATGAGCTCCCCACGTCATTGCTCCGACAGCATTCAGGGATGGCGCGGAGGTACACGGCTCCGTAAGATGGCATCGCTCCAATGTCCATCGAGTTGAATCGACGCGGAACATGGGAGTCGAAGCCATTCGGATCCTCCATCAACGGGATGCACCTCATTCGTCTCCCCGGCTGCTCACTTTTTTTCGTCGCGGAGCCTATACGACAACATATGCGTGTGTTCTTTGCCTCCGCAATGACACATCAGTTCATTTGAAGTACAGACACGATTCGCCACTTAGTTCCTGCTTCTCCTTGTCGTCATCGTCACCGTTTATGTCGGAGGGGAGAAATGTTTGCGATGCTTGCAAGGGTAAGTGGCTCAGGCCGAAAAGGGTGAGGAGATCCAACCGACCGACCGACCGATAGACAGAACGAGGAACCTACGGAGCAGGCGAGCTACCCGCCAAGCGATCAACCAATCGTCCGCCCCCTCCCCTCAATCCCCCGTCTTATTCGACCGACCGACCGGCGGACCGAACAGGGAAGCGACGGGGGATGTCAGGGATATATTTTTGGGGAGAAAGTGCATTTTGTTTTTATTTATGGCTCTGGCTGCAACAACCCTTTTAGCAAGCAGTAAGAAGCGGAGAGAGACACATTGAGTGGCGGTAGTAGTGACGGCGGCAGCTGAGAAAAAACTCGTCTTCCTTCGGCTTCTCCGTGTGACGAGAAAAGTGCTTGGCGAGAAAATGGCGATTTTTAAAGCCAACTGTCGATTCCCCTTCCTATACTCTGACAGGCTCATGAATGCCATTTACGAGGTTAAGTGATGCCTTGTGCGTGAGGAAGAGGACGAGCCGAGGGAAGACAAGCGTTTCAGCTCGTGTTCGAGAACCAAGCTTTACAGGTCCGATGGATGCAAGCCCACATCCTCATGTGCTCAGCGCCCCACTGGCACTGATCCAAACTCATCGGATTTTTCGGGGAAGGCAGCTGCAATCTCAGGCTTTGATCAGAAATGTTCCAGGAGTTCGGTAGAAGCCGTCGAGTTACGCCTAATCCACGTCGGATTTTTCGCGGACGATATCACAATATAAGCTATTGAATGGTGAGGGCTGAAGGCCGCTTCAGGGTCCCGCGAGACAGTCCCCGATCTATATTCCCGCTCTGCGGTGCGGAGATCTTTCGGCGACACCAGCATCTCCTGCGTCTCTGGATCGAGGCGCAAGCACGTAGCCAATGCGAGGCAGTTCCTCTCCGTTGTTTCTGCAAAGCAACTCGAGGCTGCTCTCGATACGATTGGTTCCGACTCGCGTTGGAAATGGGCCGAATTCATCTCAGTCACATTCAGAGAGAAAGCGAAATTGAAATTCGGGAATTCTTATTAGACTTCAACCCACTTGCGAAGGCAAGCAGTCAGCCAGCCAGCTAGCTCCACCGACCGACCGCCCGCGCGCCAACTCAGTCCAACGCGCCTGCCTACCTGGCAGGCGTGCAGACACGTATTTGTTATTTACAAAATAGTGAAATTGCTCGAAATGCTGCTGCATTCGCTATTGCTAGACTCCCCCGATTCGGGGCGAAACCGAAGCGCTCCCAATAAACACTTCAAAGAGTTTCGCTCTTTGAAGGGAAGAAACGATGAGTTCAAAGGCCCAGTCAGGAGCCATAATTTTGCCTCGAGGTCTATTCCTTGTACGACGAGATGCCAACTTTCGAGCATGCAACGCCAGGGGTGTGCATAGCTGAGTGCGACGCTAGAATGCAGTTTACTCTCTTTTTTTTGCGCTCTCCCACTGAGCTGTCGATTTTTTCCTCGAGCCAGCTACCATGCCCGCTCGATTGGTCCTCTTCTCTCGCTTATAGGTGATTGAAATCTAAATTGCATTGCGTCATTTAGGCGCTTGTTCGAATCGATGATTCCGTTCGAGCTCTCGGTCGGCTCCCCTGCCCATCGGCGCACTATGGTACTGCGGAGTGCGGAGAACACCGAAAAAATGTATGCGGCTCTGACCGTCTACCCTCGATAGATTGGTCGATCTCGGTCAAGTAAGAAAACCTCCATCGACCGGGAGGTCTCAGACACTTGACTACCACGCTTAGCCAATAGAACCGTATCGGCTTGGGACGAATTACGAGAACAGACGCATGCGGGCGTGATTTCACCGAGATTTGCACATCGCGACGACAGCTGGTGCTGGAACTTCCCCACAGCGAATTTCCTGGGAATTTCAACGGCAGCTCAGGCGCCGTCCAGGTGAAGTCAGCTTCCTCCTGCGTGGAGAACACGTCTCATACATGGAGTGATTTGTGCGATGTCCATTCAACGTTCCTCGGTGCCGACTTTCGTCGCCACACTGCATGTTTGGATACTCTTACGCAGCGTTAGCCCCGCTGATCATGAATGATCGGCATCGAAAGCCACCAGCGAGAGTCTCGTTCGGGCAGGAGTGCTACCCATGTACGGGGAATCGGCCTCCGTACGAGTGTCGCATGAGATATTTGGCGATGGAGCGCGAAAAGTATCATCATCATGGCCCCCCGGCCCATTGGTCTGTGATAGGTCGAAGACCGGGTCAGACGATGATCTGAAAGTTGGCCGTGAGAGGGCTCCACCACTTCCCCCCCAGGCGGCTCCTCATAGAAAGATTTTCTTCATCCAAATGGGAAAATTCGTGAGTTTTTTCCGATAAGGTATGTCGGGAACGAAGCGCCTTCATATGCCCTGTCGTTCTCCCAGAGCAGCCACACAATAGTTCGGAGGAAACGCGCCCGCAATCGCGCAAGAATCACGAGAAAAGAACAATCCACTGTCGAAATTTATTAGCTTCCTCTGATGGCGAAAGCTGAGGACAAATTGATCAGAAGCGAATGAATATCGATTGGGGGCATTGCTGCTCCGTCAGTCGTCCTCGATCTTGACAATTCATCACTTTCAACACACCGGGTCATACGGCCGTGAGAGAGGAGTACCCGCTGAGGAATACGTACATCGATACGCGCTCGATATCAATCGACGAGCAACCCTATGAATCCAAGTCCTCCCGCTCGAAATCTTCACGGAGCGTAGACACTAGAGCAGGTCTCCTCTGCATCGAAGCAATAGCGGGATAGTAATCGCTTCGAGCCTTGACTGAGTACTTTGCGCGTAGATTATTAGCGGTCTCACGCAAGCTACACACGTTTTTGTGCAGCTTCCCGTCGAGATGCGCCTGGAGCCGACTCAGCGTACTATCCAGCCCATAGGCGATACCGCACTGATCACAAACGTTGACCGCCAACTTCGTTGATGTCTCCCTTAATGCATCGTCCTGTTCTCGCTGTTGAATTCGATTCACCAGAGCGCGAAGTCGTTTCTGCGTCTGGTGAACGTTTTCCATAACTTTCAGGGCTTCCTCAACCTGTCCTTGCTCGCCGAAGCGCTTCGCTTCTTCGAGGAGCCGCTCGATTTCCCTCGAGTAGTGAATCTCTCTTTTCCTCAGGAGAACATCGTGTTCTCGTTTAGCTTTCCGCAGGTTCGCGAAATGGTCGAAGTCCTTACGATACCGCTGCTCTGATCTGTCGAGTTTCTCCAGAGCTTTTTCGATCACGCGCAGAGCTCCCAATTCCACGCGTCCGACGTCGGAGGATGGAATGCTGCTCCTTATGTACTTGTCGTGATTCCACATGCATTTACCCTGTCCGAACTTTGTTCCGTAGAGTAACTCCGCGGGACACGCGTCCACCGCGAACCCATAGCAGAAGTTCTCCATTTTCTCATGCGGATCACGTTGGGTGGGCGAGAAGCCTTCGTTCACAGCGGCCATGAGTTCTTTGACAGAAGCGCGCATTTCCTTCGAAGCCGACATGATTTACCTCTCGCGGAGTGGCACGCTACTACTTAACGATTTCTCAACTGTCTTCCGTATTGGTGGAGTTCTTTCCGGATAGGCTCCGTCTTGGGCTCTGAGAACGAAATCGCGAGATTCGCTCGTAATTCCCTCGAACAAGACGTCACTCACTTCGTCGGCATCTCCGAGAGAAGGTTCCGACGGTGAGCTTGCTCCGAGAATGCGTCCATCGGCCGTAAAATGTGGATCCACTCTCTCAATACTCGTCTCGTGAATCCTGAACGACACGGATGCCCTCCGTGCGAATGGACCCGTTCTTCTAAAAGATACTTCCATATACGATCTGAACCCTGGGACTTTGGCACCGGCACCGTTTCGAGAGATATTCTGACTTTGAATGACAGTGCGAAACCCTCGGCGCTTCTGGAGCTAGCTACTTGGCCGCAGTCAGCTCTGGTCATATCTTTTCAAGTGCTCTTGAACGTTGGTTCGAGCAGCTGTCGGCAAATCTTTCCACCAGCGCCGTCACATGCGATCGGTGCTGTCTCTAATTAAGAAGATCATCTCGAGGCTACATTAAGTACGTTACGGTTTTATTTTGATCAGATACGATTCATGAGGTCGCTCAGGAACGCCAATCGTGAAGCCACGGTCCAACGCGGTTTCGAAAACCAAGTCAGAGTGGAACTTGGTGAAAGTTTCTGCTGTAAGTAAGTCGTTTGATTGTTCAGTCTCCAACCCGCCTATATACTATATGATTGCTCGCTAGTCCGCCGGTCTCTTACCAGCTCGAAGTACTTTTAAAAAATAGAATTGCATAGCTCAACTCGATGTGCCGTTCTCCGCGACCGAATGCTTGAAGCGTCCGAGTCGGGAGAATCTGCTTAACATATGCTTGGATATTCGTGCGCTCCTGCTCGGGCACGACTTCTGGGAGACTTCTGCTTTACGTTTCTTGGGAACTGCAGCAAGAAACTAAAGCGACGGTCTTCCGCGAGAGAGCAATAAGCCGCTCCCATGCCTCTATCGATTGCTCCTCGTTTTCGATTCATTGTATCAAAGGAAACGCCAAAAAAAATTTGAGTGCGTTTCCGTTTGGCACTTTGCTGTCTCGGACAGCATCCACATTGGCATTGGCTGCCTTGCGATCGCTCACTGTTTGTCTCTTCCAGACGTAGAAACAAGCTCAATACAAATGCTCTTCCGTGGCGTCAACCGACCGACCGAGCCATCGTTCGTTCGCATGTATGTATGTTCACGTAAGTATGAGTTTCCATGTAAAAGTGTATCCATGTCGAAGCGGGAAGATTATCCGACATCATGCGGATATACATATCATACTATTTAGGCACAATAATCGTAGATGAAATGATTTTGATGATTATGCTTCTGCTTGTAATAAGTGTTGCTTCCGATATATGGCTCCCTGGAATCAGCTACCGCATTTCGGTAAGCTCCCGTCGCATTCCATCGCGTCGAGCAGCTCTGGTCGATGAATCCGTCCTCGTGAACTCGTCGGATCGAAATTCTCCCTCTTAACGTACTATGCCGGACCTACGGCAATGCTCATGTTCCGAATCAGAGCCAGGTCAGCACTGAATCCTTGTTGTCGGTTAAGAGGGCTTCCATGTCCGGCAGGAGATCGGGCATGTCCGGCATTTCGTTGAGGGATGGCATCAAATCGTCGGAGTCCATTTGCTCCGGAGCTACACAGTTGTTTGCAGGCACGATTGCACCGACTGGCATTGCATCCATCGATGCGTCTTCCATTCCTGGAATATAGAGGAAACGTGTCGAGTCGCGGACCGAATCCTCTCATCCCTGTCCACGATAAGACTAGAAGTCAGGGTCTCTCCTGATAATCGATCACTTGAGGTACCCTATTCGAAAGCGAATCATACGCCCCTCCTCTCCCACGTCTATCGGAAGCATTCGAGGAGAACGGACCCGGAACCTACCGATATTGGCGCTGTTATCGAAAGGAGTAGGAAACTCTTCGGGCAAGGAGAAACTGGGTCCGAGTCCGAGCCCGGAATCTGCGGACTCTTGCCTCGAATGAGGACCGCCGAGGAAGGGGTCGGTGTGGCCTAGATTATTGCTGTTATTGTTGTTCACCGCCAGTTGATTGGGATTGATGGTATTGTTGTTTTGCTCCTGAAATGTAAGCGAATCTCGGGAATGAGTTGGGCGGAGAAGGAACGCGACCCGATCAGCCGTAATTCAAGCTGACTGACAAGCACCGATCTGCTTCGAGTCTTCGAACTCTCGGGATAGCTCCTTCGCGCGTCCTCCATTGCGACGGAACATAATTATTTCACGTCATTCTACTCACGGTCGTTAGGCCGAAGGCGGGTTGACGGAGAATTTCCAATTGCCTTTGTTTCATCCGCTCGCGCTCCAATTGTAGCTGCTGAAGCCTCTGCAGCTGCTGCTGGGCTAACGAGAGCGTCGATGTGGCGGCACATACTGCGTTTATACTGTCAGTGGATCCGGAATCCGCTGCCGAAGGAAAAACACGCTTAGTTCTTCCTTTGGTAATCCTCTGTATCCGAAATACGAATGAGGTCCGCTTAGGAGGTCGGCTGCTCGATGCGACCAATCCTGGCTGAGTTGGTCATGTCACGATACCAAGAAGACTTCTGCTCCTCGTAAAATCGATTCAAGGAACCATTCGCGGACTTCTTCTGTGTACAGTTCTAATTCCGTCTCCGTGGAAGTCTTGACCCCGTGACGTCACCAGGCGTCATCACGTGGCTCCAATCTGACGACGGTGTATCGAAAGGCGACGGATCAAATGCTCGGGAAGCAAATGCTAAGGTGTCCGGCATCGAATCGAAAGTTTCGCTCAAAATTCTTGACAGCTCAGCCATTGCCGATCTTGTCGAGTTAACGACCTTCTTCATGCCGCCGCGGAGAGTCAGAGGTCACTTCGGCCGTCTCGGAGGATATTCAGAGATGAGAAAAAATTGGTACGGGATTTCCGACCCAAACCGAAGCTAGAAGGTGAATGTACCATTCAAGTTGTGATTGGATCCGAGGGGGCTGTGCATCTGGGGATTTTGATTCTCCAACTGGATCGTTCCGGTGGTTTGCTGCTGGCGAGCCAGTATAGCGGCTTTTTGCAGATTGATGGGAATTCTAGGATCGAACCAAGACGTGGTTCTGTCTACGTGGTTTATGAAGTAAACTTCGCCTTCTGGGGAAGTGGATTGTTCCCACCCGTCGGGGAGGGGACCCAGGGTCTTGGCGTTGATCACCGAGGGGTTTGTGGTGTGTGGCGGCGGGGGAGCCGTGGAGTGATGATTGGCACTGAGCTGACCTATAAAGCGGAGAAAATTGGTCAGTCGATAATCTATACGGATCTGCGCGACATTGTCGAGTATATTTGATAGTTAATCATTTCCGCAGTTCGTTTTATTTCAAGCGCGCCGTGGATCTCTCTTCACTCGGCGCTCTTGTGCGCTCCAAAGTCTGTCTACTCGATCGCCACTCGCGCTATGCGTGCTCGGAACGATAACAATCTATTCGCCGGGATAAAACAGCCACATAGAATATAGATTTCCACATTTAGAGAAGAGCGAATGAGTCATCACTTCAGCCGTCCGAGCATCGGACTCACGACGATCTTGAAGAGTGCACCGGGCAACACTAGTCGACTAGCGGGCCGAGCGGAAAGAACGACCGCCCGGCCAAGTGCATAGACTGACCAGGCGGCGTACAGTCGAGCTTGCCTTCGTGCCAGCCCGCCCGTCCAACAGACCAATCGAACAGCCGGCGTAAACGCTACAATTACTCACTGCCGCCATTCATCGGTCCGCAAGGCTCTTCATTTCATTCAATACAATAACAAGCATGACTTGTTCCCAATCAGAGACGGCGGCTCCATGTAAAATAAGAACGCCTTTCCAAGAAGAGAACAGTCATCCCTATTCTCTTCAGCGAACGGAATGACCACGGACATTTTTCTCAAAATCACCAGCCAATTCGCCCCTATTCCCCGTCCCTCTAGCCATTACCGCGAATTCTTCCTTGTATCATGGGGTCGGATTACTTCCGCTGGGATTGCGAAAGCCGCTCTCGAGTAAGTGGGGAAGAGAGATCAAACATGGTGTCTGCTTCAAGATCTCGAAGCTCGAGAACGTTTAGACAGAGCGACGACGATAATTATACCCTCAACATGGAAATCCAATTCAGAGAAGCGTAGGCATGGGATGGGCAGAAATCTCACCATTAAGTTTTTTACGAGGGTCTTCCCAAGTAGTAGTGTGTGTTACGTGATTAAGGAAGTATCTCTGGCCGGTATTGGTCCTAGCCATCTCCCAGCCTTCTGGGAGAGGCTCTTCGTCGACGAGATCATAGCTCTGTTGCCTGAAATTCCGAATTTCCAGATTTTATTGGACGAAATTCACCTGCTTGCTAATATAGGGGGTCGATTATGAACATTTCCGGATTCCGCATTTCCGGCGACTCGCTCATGAATGTTCCAAGTATTAAGCCGCCTATCCTCATCACCATCATCATGGTGGATATAGTAAGATATTCTCGCATAATGTACATATTAATCACGATTACCGAAACCGAATCAGTAATTATCTAGTCGGAAAGAGCCGAGACACCGTCTCGTGAGGCTCGCCCCTTTTTTCACACGCCTGTGAATAATTGCAAGAGTTTCGCGCAGCATCTCATAAGCTGCTCAGCTCCGAATCCGTCGAGTTCTTTGACTGAATTACCATCCATACCGACTCAAGGCCTGTTTTCGATTTGTTCGAATTTATACATCGAGTCGGATTTTGCTGGGATGATCGAGATAGCCGGGGCGTTAACAATCAAAACGCGAGATATAATCAGCAGCCGTTAAATTCTCGCCTCGAAAACACTCGGCAATACGGAGTTGGGAGCACGATTCATTCACTCTACTTCATATGCGTCTCGACCACCGACGCAACTTCTGCATCTACATCTAAACAATATGCGTAACGAGCTCGGACCCTCACGTCACTCGAATACTTCAGAAGCACCCGTCACCCCTCGCTGAATAGCATCGTATTCTTCAAGGCTACACTTCGAATGTGGGTATAATATTCTAGTGAGGTCTGCCTAGGAGGATATTGACTTGGAATCAAATACCTGCAACTATACTAGTTGGATAATAATATTCCCATGAAATTCCTGGGCCCAACTCAAACAACTACATAGCGCAAGTTTCTCGTAAAGAAGACATCTCGATGCGGAGCGGCGGATCCATCAGGAACTACGCCGTTGAAGATCAGGAATGAATCTTCGCAGTTTCGGATTTGGCTTAGCAGCAGCAATAACAATACGGCTATTACGTATAACATTGACCTTGAGATGATCCCCAGGAGCCCATCGCCGACTTGTTCTGAACAGCTGGCCGAGTAGCAAAAGCGGAAGATTGACCATTTTTCGGAGGGTTCGATGTGGAAGACCCGGATGGACCAAGGACGCTCGACAACCGGTTCAACTGCGTCGTCATTTGAACTCCGGAGGAAGGATGCCGGAGTTCGACATTCAGAGCCAATGTCCCCGTTATCGGGTGCGGTTCGGTTCGCTTGGTAATCAATTGAATTACACCAGCGACGTATTGTTGGCGTGCACAATCTATCACTTCCCGAGCAATTGATTTCACATGGCTGGGCTCGCCGATTATTTTTCAAAACCAGCCTATCACGTCTAGTCAGACATGCAGGCGCCGAATTAGAGAGCGCCATTTCTTTCTCCTCCGCTCGTACTTGGTTTTGGAAACAGTCGCTAGTCATCCTCGAAATTTTTGGAGGTTCTCGACGCTGCAAACTTCGGAGCATGGAAGGGCTCCGCAGCTACTTGGTCGGCATCGAACGACTGCAGATTAGTTCACGGTCATGAGTTGGATGTTCCGTTGGCGACAGATCGTTGAACTTAGCTGTAGAAAATGCTGCGAGAAAAGCGCCGGGGATCCTAGCGGATCTATGAGGCCTCGCAGGCAAGGAGAAAACTTCAGCTTCCGACGATGCGCCAGCGAGTCTGCTTGGAGTACGCTTCGCTCGATACACTGCAGGCGATGTTTCATTCGAGGTGGCATTGAGATTCTTCATATTATTTATCAGCATCATCAACGACTCCGATCAGCAGATCGCTTCATGGATTCTGCGGTTCGATGGTTCAGCAGCAGCCTCTAGCGAGAGAAGATTCGAGCCACTGCGTCTACGGTTTCGCCTGCTTCGCCGGCTGCGGAGTGACTATCCGTCTGACATCACAAGCCGGCGACGACATGATGCCAAACTGGCAACCACTGAGCCATAAATCCGTTCGATCGGCGGCGGTGGCAGCGTTCGTTGTTTTACGGCTAGAACAGCGAGACTACGAACTGCTGCTCGATCGCTGCTAGTCAGCTTGCAATCGAGTACTGCTCGCTGGCTGGCTGGCTGATTGACCGGCTCGGAGGCTGGCTGGCTCACTCGCCGGCTAGCTCGATCGGTCGGTCATGGTAGCTTACAGGAAGCTGATCTGCAGGAGGAACTAGACTGTAGCACTACGTGACGGCTGTAACACGAACGAGTCCTATCGCATTGTTGTCGTCGTCGATGTCGTAGACGACGGCAGCAGCGGCGGCATTGACGTCGACGAGTGGCTGGGTCGCGTTCGTACGACGTCTATCCATCCGTCTGTTCAAGTCAGCCACACCGAGCGCACAACAACCAGGAAGCGAGTTCGATTTGGATCGACCGACGACAGACTAGCTTCAAGCTGTTGTCATCTATCGCAATGGATCCCTCTACCTACCTACCTACAGACAAATCGAATTCGATACCGTGAGACTTTGGTCTGAACAACTGCTCCACCGATGGAGATCGATACAAGCCACAGACGGCCTCCGATGGTCGTCATAAGATTATCCTAGCGTCGCTATCAGTTCTTATCTGCCGGCTTCGAAATCCCCGGAAAGGTTCCTGCCGTAGAAAACGTCGTATCGCTAACGGTTTTTTTTATCACTCAAGCATCGTGCAAATCCCCGGTGATTCGGCTGTATGTCGAGCTCGGAGGAATCGAAACTCTACGACCTCGATAACAAGGGCATCGGAGTGCCGAGCTTGATCGTCTGACTTTGGCCACTCGAGTCCCGAATCATTGCGTATTCGGTCTGGAACAATGCCCAGAAGAGTTGAAGGGCTCAGCGCATAAATATGAATGGAACATCCGTTTTCGTATGCATCCGTCCGCGGAGATCTATATTCCGTCGAAGCGGAGAGCTCGGCCGATGCCACAGCACGGTCTGTATATAAAAAGAAAAATAATGACGCGACTTCCAAAAGACTCGTCGTGATTCAAGAGAAACTCATTTCGGAATTATGCCTGCTTACATCACACTAGACGGCGCTTCCGATTACTAAACTATCGAATGCAGCTTCGAATTCGAGAAAATGGGCTCGACAATACTGATCCAGAGATACTTTGTCCGATTGGCTGTCGGGCATGAGGGCTCGGAAAGACTAGGATCGCAGAGGAGCTCTCGAGGCTCGACTACCGTTTTCGCCTAAATTTTTCTTCTTCGAATCCAGGCAAAGGGCTCAGAGTTCGGAACCTCGGAATTGAGCAGATATCCTCCTCGAGATCTTCTTTGGGAGCCTACGCATAGAAGGAGTCTCCAATGCTCGCAGGTTCCGCGAAGTGATCGAAACCAAAGCCTACTGACCTTGTGTGCGTGGGCTGTTGAGGAGCCGATCTGTAGGTTTGCTCCAGGGATGCAGGTGACGAATGTGCCCGAGAGTGGTTTATCTGTGGTCTCGGGATAATCCCACCCGGGCCTTCTACGGGTTGCTGGAAGAAGGAGGGCGGTAGGTTCCGCATCCGCATGGGCAACTGTCCGGTTTTTGTGACGCCACCTGGAATTTGGCATTAGATTAAGTCGTGACTTTTTTTTCACATAAACACCCTTCGCTTGATCTATCATTTACTTCCCGATAGCTCCCACCGATCTATAGGTGATCAAGTCACCTCCGAACATTATCAAGCGTTAATCGAGGTGGGTAGAAGCAACGAGGAGCTGGACTTCAGCGAATGATGACGGTTTTACTTGGAAAAAATCCCCGGAGATTTTCGCTCATTTGGAAATTCATTCTGCCCGAGTGATTGAGAGCGAGGCTTTCTTGACAAAAATGGATTCGATTAAGGATAACTTTTCAGAATCGTTCAATTACTGTTGGTTTTTGGTGAGTAGCTGTGACTCAGAAGCGCTTCTCTCATGGTCTCGAGGGTTTCTTAGAGCAGCATGGAATACATTCGCAGTAGTTTGTGAGTGAATGGTAGTGACACAAATGAATGGACAAGTTGTCAATGAGTGACACATTGAGCACAAATGACGCACGCTCGGTTCAAAAGCACTAACGAAGCTGTTTTTCCTTAACAATTCTCTGGTGATTCTCGGTCGGCAGGGCTGAGCTTCCTTCCAACTGGAAGTGGGAAGCCTCGAGTTCGAATACGGAGCAGCTCGCCGCACGGGAATAATTCTACTTCCAACACAGGCTGAACGAAGCTTGCGGCTCTTCAAATTGAAATAACTCTGCTTTCAAAAGCGTCATTTGCGTCCAACTATCGTTTGTCGGAAGACTTGTGAAGAGGCCTTAACTCCATGATGGCTTTGAGTTCTGACAGAGTTCCGGAGAGAGACTCGTCGAGGGAAGAAAACCCAACAACTAGGTTCAAGGACTCCCTGACCTGGACGCAGCTTAGGCTCCCTTGTCGTCATGCAGCGACCGTATTGTGGAAACTGCAATAAGTTGAAAAAAACGTCCCGTGCGGTACATTTCCGCGTCTTGCGAGACTAACACCGCAGAAGCTGTTCTCGACGAGTTTTAGAACTGGGCATCCACAACCTCTGCGGGCAAGCCTCCGTACTTATCTCTGGCTGACTTTTATCCAAAACATCATCCATACTTTGAAGGGCCCTTTAGCGAGGAGAAGGCTTTTAAAAGAGAATCACTCGTCCGCCTGTTTAGTAGATTTGCTACAGGCCTTACTCACTCCCGATGGACTAACGCCAAGGAAAACATGTCGAAGAGAGCGAGTCTCTTCTGCGTTTCTTCATCTTCGGCGATCGCGTTTGAGCGATTTCCAGAAGACCACGGAGGAGAAACAAAGATGATGATGGTGATCGAATGATCTGTCCTTTCTCGGATTGAATTACCCACTCTTCAATTTCGAACCATTCATAATGGGATCTCATGTCCGCCACGGTCGGGAATTTTCGATGATTTTTCGCTCATCGAGAAAGGCTCCACTATGGCAGTCTAGGAGCAGAAAAAATTCAAGGCTCGAAATTTAAAAACGCCTGAGACGAGTCCGTGTGCGCTTGCCGAACGACGTTGAGCTCACTCGAAGCCTATAAAACGCCATGCCATAGATAATTCGGCGTTATCAACTTTCTATTTTCTCTTGTTCAAGGCTGTTCCGATTGGTCTTACAGAAAGCGGGAAAGCGAGCGAGCCGGCCGGCGAGCGACCGATCGAGACCTAACCAGCAGAACAGACAGACAGGCTGACGGACGGACGGACGGACGGACGGACGGAAGGACATACAGACATACGCGCAGCTCGACCAACCAACGAAGGGGGAGAAAGAGAGATGTATAGCAATTCTAGCACCGAAGAAAACTCGGGGAGAAATCAAGTTCGAGCGATCAGATACGACATACATAGCTTCTTCGTCTGGCGTCGGTCGGTCATTAGAAATTGCTGGGGCGCCTGCGCCCCTGACCCAGGCGAACCGGTCAGCCAACCAGGCGGCGGGCACCGGCCTACCAGCACCACTCTCAGCGAGTTCTGTGGGCGAAGCGGAGGAGCTCCACACGGTTCCCAGCACGCGCCGACCCATCGACTACAAGAGCCGTCGTGTACTAGTTGCTCTTCCTCGCTCGTCAGCTAGCTCCGTGCCCGAGCGACGAAAAGAAGCGAAAAAAAAAACATTTCTCTCGTTTGCCAGAAGGAAGTGGGGCATCCAGAGCCCAACCCTGCTGCATGCAGTGGCGGATCTAGGGGGGGGGCCAGGGGGCCATGGCCCCCCCAAGAATCTTCGATCCCTATACAAAAGCATGGGCCGCGAGGTGGCGCGTCATCATTTTCGGCTCTTTCCCCCCTGAAAATATGACTTGGCCCCCCCCAAGAAAAAAAGCTGGATCCGCTCCTGGCTGCATGGGAAGAGCGGAGGGGGGGAGCTTGCTGGCTGGCTATCGACCGACCGAGAACAATCTTCGAGCGAAGCCACCTGCCGATTTTCGAGGGGCTAAGCCTCACTCAGTCATTGTGGCTTCCAATATTCAAACGGGACGCCTTCCTTTGCCATACATGATCTCAAACGTTTCAACGCCGAGTCCCGACCACTTATTACGAATCGAGCCGACAGCCGAAGAGAGGACGCTTGCCGCTACCGCATAGAAAGCAGGGAAAGTGTCAACCACCGCGCGCACGGTACGTAGGTGCTCGGCTTGGAGAGCTCGGGTTCTCCTTTCAGTGACCGCATCGGCCGCAACCGTGGTGGCATCAACGTCAGCAGCCGACGCAGCAAGCGCATCTACAACGACGCCATCGGACCAGGCCAATATAGGCCATCGCCGAGCGACGCCGATTTCGGAAAAATACACACGTTTACGGGTGAAGTTCAGGCGCGTTTCGGAATCCGCACCTGAAACGCGCTCCTCCTCCCGAAAAGTGACAGCGAACTTTGTTGCTCTCCGCCGCTGTTTTCCGCGGTATACGGAGCGAGACGTTCGGCTCGCGGAGTCCGAGGACTTCCGCTAGACAGCGTTGAATGCCCGCGAGCCGTGAATCTCGACGACGACATGACATCGATGTCTAGTTCTCTCGCAGGGACGTCGGTGATGCTTCTCCCGCCGCCGCCGCCGCCACCGTCCGGGTTGGGCCGCGGGGCTGCCGGCCACCGACCGACTCCGAGAAGAAACTGTTGCTTCAGCCACATCTACCAGGTCACGACGGCGACGAAGCGACGTGCCGGAGAAGAGAAAACAAACTCATGACAGTTCGCTCAGCAATTCACTTCGCACCGTCGTCACCCCTGCTGCCGGCTTGGTAGAATATAAATGTCTGCTAGAAGAGAAGAAGGGTGACAAGGTTGGTTGGAGGAGTTGGTGGTTGGCTTCGCTTATTGGCGCCTCCCTTGTTGGTGGATTCTTCTGGTTGCGGCGGCGTTCGCGGTTTTCGTTGACGCTGATCTTGCCGCTGTCGTCGGGAGACCGACTTCTGCTGTTGTTGTCGCCGTCGTCTACGTCGTCGCTATTATTGATATTATCATTACTATTATTATTATTTTTTTATTATTATCATTGTTTTCGCCATTGCTGCCGCGACTGGAGCCGCCGCCGCTGCGCCGTTTTTTCGTGCGGCTTCGTCGTAGCGGTACTCGCTGCTGCTGCTGCTGCTGTGTTATCGCAGTCGTTATTATTGTTGATACAGTAGTAGCGCTTTCTCAAGCAAGCAGCCAGCTACCCGCCCGCATGCCCCGTCCCTGACAGAGTCGCTCCACGCGTTGGCCTGATAAGGGAAATTTAACAACGAAATGCTGTCGGAGAAATTTCAGGTAGAAAAATACGGCAGGTCAAGCAAGCCGGCGATACCCTCGCGACTCCGTCTTCGTCAAAAGTGGTTTGAGCCCTCCCCCCCCAATCCCCTCCCCACGGATTCGGACGCTTCGCGGAATCCAATTGAGAGATTTTTCTTCTTCGGAGGCCTGGCTCTCTTGGATGGCCATCACGAGCTGATGGCCATGAGCTTCGAGGGGGTGGGGACGACACGTGCGGGACTCTTCCCCCATCCGCTCGGGATGAGACCTTCCCCGAGATTGTACTTCTTTTGAATCGCATCCGTACACTGGGATGATACACAGGTCCTCACTGGACTTCTGTCAACGATTCCGGTGCCGACGCTCGTCGAAATCGACGGCGGCTATCTCCCGAAGCGTGCTTTCGCTTGGCTGCCGTTGCTTGGCTCACGATGGCTGACGGTTCGTCCAGCGTTTATACATCGCGTTCAGAATCGCTGCGCAAAAATAGAGCATTTCTGTGCTCCCTCCTATTATATATACATATCAGTCGAAGAAGCCAACGTGATTTCATTAGCACTCGAAGCGGACCTTTCTGCGTGGTTCCGCCTAACGGAACCCGATGCGCGCCGAGTGACGGAGGATCGCTTCAATTTCACTCCAGATTGTTATTGTTTCTTAAATCTCCGTCCAATCTCCGTCAAGTCTAGACAGACTCAACTTTTGCTCGAGCGAGATACGCCGAGTCGAACTTCAGCGAGTCTCAGCATTCCGATCCGAGCCTCAACAGAGATCTCGAGTTGATTCCGAAATATTTAGGCGATCCAACAAAAGATCGTGGTTCCTCAGAGAGCTTCGCAACTGGTACCGTGCGAGTCGATTCGATTCTCGGGTATGCAATCGATATTTTCAAGCCAATCGAGCTCCGTTCGAGTGATCCGCCTCAGTCATATGGGAATCATTCCGGCGAAGCCCACAGAGAGCCGGGGGATGAACAAAAAAAATCGTGAAGTATTGGAGCGATGGAGAGAGAGACTCTCGGAGGAGTCCTCGGGAATGTACGCAGGAACAGGCGCCCGTTCTGTGGCCGAGAGCCTTGGAGCAGAGGCCGTTCTTTTGAACGATCTCATATCGGGCAGGGGAAGGCGACCCACGGAGGCTTTGTTTGGCGCTCTTTTTGGGCTGTCTTCCTCCGCGAGAGTACTCGAAGTGTTGACCGAGGTCTCCGATGATTACAAGTAGCTCCGAGATTTACGTCTCTAGCTCGAAACTCTGCGGTGAGCCCGAGTGGAGTTCCTCCAGTTCGCAAAGAGCTCTTCTGCTCTCGGTTCTCAGAAACTGTGAATCCATATCCAGACTGAACAGGCAGACGAGCATGTAGATCGGATGACCAGAAAAACAAACGATTCAAAACGTTATCGGATGCCCCTCTCGCCTCTTCCCATCCACCGAGGGATTCGACCGACTGAATTCACCTGAGTATCAGCTCACTGTCACCGGGATTCGAAGTCGCAGTCGCTTCGATACACCCCGGGAGCTCCGCGAGCAAAGCATAGAGCAAGACAGCGGAGCTCGCCGAGTCGGGCCCCACCAGCAACAACAGGTAGTTGTGAGTGAACGGCTCCGGCTTCTTCGATTTCTGGTTGCTGCTCGTCGCTCTGTGGCTCGGAGCGAACGGAGCTCGGAGTTTGTTCTCCGAGCCCAGTTTAACACAATTCCCCTTCCGATGACAGCCCCACCTGTTTGGGTTGGGGCACCAGATGTTGAAGCCCAGAGGCTAGCTTGCGTCGGCCGAGCTGAAGGTTGAGCTTCCTCAGTCACCTTCGGAACGCGAACGATCGCCTCTTTCCCTAGAGAGCTCGCGAACGAGTCAGGAAGGAAGGCCGGCCGGCCGGCCGATGCCTTCTTCTAAAGGCTGCCTTTCTGGCGAGCAGCCTTACTGCTTGCACTCGCTGACTGCCGAGCTGATAGGCTTGCCTGCCGGCCGGCCGGCCAGTCTCCGAGCTAATCTGACTGACTTACTGACTGACTGCAAGAACAGACTACAACCGAACTCCCGAGGAGGCCAAAAGTGGACCAGAGGCGAGCAGCGACCCAAGAACCCAAAAAGCCCGTCTCAAATTACTGCCACCGGCGCCGTCATCGTCACATGCGGCACGACGACGCAGGCGGCTCATCCACACGCAGAAAATAACTGTCGGTTCCCTGCCGTTCCCAAACGCGTTGCCCCGTAGGTCGTGAAACGCAAGTTCGGCGCGCGGCTCCCACGTTCGGGGCTTCCGAGTTCGTCGAAAGCCGATCTGGCTTCAAGTTTCAGCTTTTCCGATCGGCCGAATCTCGGAGCGACTGCCAGAAGATCTTCGGCAGGCTCCCGAGAGCCGACTGACAGGCATCGGAACGCAGTAATCAACCATGAATGTATGGGATTCGGACTCGATGAACAAGACTCGGACTCTTGATCGAGCGAGATTCATGACAAGGGATTATTCGGGGCCGAGAGCTACGACGAAGACTTCAGTTCATTTCCGCTCGGTCCGTGTCCCGAATAACAGGTTTATACGTCACTTCTCCGAAACGGCTCTCTTCGGCGATTTACACCGAAGAGGGTCGACTTACCTTCCATGGCAACTTTGAAAAGCTCATCCAGGTTCGAGTCCTGACGATACCGCACGACATGGTTTGGCCCCTGTTGCTCGACGAAGCCCTCGGTCGCCATGGCTGGAGCGCCGCCGAGGTTGGCACCGGAGTTGAACAAGCACTGAATGATGAACTACACAATCGAACTTCTGCGAGTTCGAGAAACGCTTCTGAAACTTTTTTCTGTAGACGTTTCGAACTTGTTGTTGTCTTCGTAGCTGCTGCTGTCGCCACGACAGCGGCCGCGGTCGAAGTTGTCGCCTCACAGCACAAGTCGTAAGCTCAACCTCTGCCGCTCTGTGCCAGCACTATCGATGGTGCTCTGTGTGCATCCACGAGCTGCTCTGCGAAGGCCAGCACCTGTGTACCTGCTGCTGCTGGTGGTGGCGATGGTGCTGTTTCTACGTAGCTTGTGATTTCTGCTGCCGCCGCACGCATAGATGGCGCTTCTGGCAGTCACCAGCACCAGCAGTGGTTGCTAGTGAGGAGAGGCACCCACACTTCTTTCTGGACGGCCAACCGAGGGACTGACGGGCCGACTGTTTGGTTGCTCTGCTGCCGCGGCTCGGCCTAGCGGCGACGGCGGCTTGCTTGGCGGCTCGACTAGCTGCCCGAGCGCCGTATAACTCGTACCCGCTGCTCTCCCCTCTCGTCAGCCAGATCTCCATCTAGCTGTCTTTCTGGAGAACGCGCCAACATTCGAAACTCCGGTACGTTCGGCGTATTCCCGCGGGCTTGCCTTGATCTCCGCTCAGGAAGCAGGGGGATCAGCCGGTCTCGCTTAAGACACCGTTGTCGAGGATCAGGGCCCGTTTTCATCGTTTGTTGAGACCTTGACGAAGTGGTCGACCTCTCTTCGAGGGGAATTTGAAAGTGAAAGCGCTGTATGCATGATATCGATAGAACTCTGTCGAGCTGAGTCGGGCGGAACTTCGGTATCGTTCCCAGAGTTCCAGGAGTGCGCGATCTGGGGCATCCCAAGCAGAAAGTCACGGTCGTTACGTGAGCCAATCCGCGAGACGATTCGACAGATGGTCTTCCAGTCTCCGGACCGGTCACAGTCGGCATGGCTTCACTCCTCGACCTCGACACCCGTAATGCTGAGTTGGTCTTCGGTCTCATTCATCTTTTCTGACAATTGTCTTCCCGTACGAGGCGGTCGGGGGTGAGAATGCTCATATCCTGAACTCAGAACTCTATGCGAAGACTCCGTCTAACACGAGCCTCTGTTTCGAGGAGCGCGCGACTTGGACTTGGGCAAGCTGTCGAGATGCGGTTACTCCCACTCTCGACAGTTCAGTAGTGGAAGCTATCTGCGGGTGCAGGGAGGCATCCGGGACGGCTCTCGCCATTGTAGGTTCGACAAGTTGGTGGCAGTTAGTCGAACGCCGCGGAAGCATCGACGCGTTCTTCCTCGTTCTACAAAAAATGTCCATGATCATCATTCCCAATCTGGTCACGACAGGCATCGAATGCGCGAAGAGAAGTGTTAGCAGCTCTCCTACTAAGCTCCTGATTGGAGCATCTCCGTCTTGAGCTCCCTCTCTGTAGGCGGCTCGGAATCACTCCGGATGATGAGAAAGCGCGACCCTCTTCGGGGAGCATGAAGTCGACCCTCAAAACGGGAAACCAGCCTCCTCCGCCCCCGGGGATTCGTATACGACTACAGACGCTCCAGGTCGTAGATGCGCACCACGGGACTGTGTAGATTCCAGTGGCTTCGTGCTAAGGCGCCAGTACCGGGAAAACAGGGAAAGGAATCGAGTGAGGTAGAATGAAATGCCGTGCCGATGATGATCACGAAATGTCGAAAGCCCCCCAGTACGGTGGGATGCCGAATGCAGGAGAGCTCTATCGAAGGGCATCTGCAGCAGTGGTTTCGTCGAAATATTCCGATACAGTGGGATAAGCATCCGGATCGGCATCTAATGTGTACGAACGGTGGGGGAACGTCCGACTGTCCACAGAGCCATTCCGTTTTCGATAACTCAACATAGCATGAGCTGCCGCTGGACGTGTTTTCAGGGTCTGGTTTCGACTAAAATCAATTATCGTCGCCGATTTCATGGTTTCATGGTTTATTGGATCTGACTACAGTATTGCATAGTCAACCTCTTAAATTCAGGCGCGATAAATCTCAGCGGATCCTTCTAGTTTCGCGCTCCCATATCTCGAGGGATCGCTTTGTGGCGTCAACCAATGTAGGATTTGTCTCGCTGCTTAGGCCGAGGCGAGCAGCTAGTTCCTCATCGGTTCTGAGAAGCTCATTGCATTCAAAAATCACATGTGGCAGTGTTTCTTGGTGAACTCCACATCGTTCGCAGTGCGTTTCAGGTTCGAAGAATATATCATGAATCCACTTCCTGCTGCTCAGTCGCGCTGGGTCTAAGAGACCACGAAGTCGGAGCGTCCACATCCGGGCGGTTTGATAGTGGGGAAAACAGCAAAATTAGGGATCTAGCGACACCGGGGTTCTCTCAGCTGCTCCGGGCGGTCGGAGGCATCCGATCCGATGTACTGAGGAATGACAGCAGTTATTCGGGGAGGCGGCTCCCGATCGCCGAATTTCCGGACGTCGATATTTGAAACACGCTCTTCCTTCCTGTCATCGATCCTCCACGGCATCACGGGGGATGCTGCGTGAACATTGCGACCCCTCATCATCCATAACTTACTCATGAAACGTCCTCAAGATCGCCTCTCGATTCCCGATAAAATTCCGTTGGCTAGACTCTCTGCCTCAGATTTTTTTTTCAGAGAGTCAAGTCTCGCACAGCAGTCCTGGATCAATGCAGGGATGAAGCCGAAGTCTCAGAAAATTTCACACGTTTATTAAGGGCCTAAGTATTTCGAGCTATTGGGAGCAATGTATACTATGATCAAGATACAATGATTCACCTTCCACAGGGTTCACCCCCTCTGTGTTTGTACATGCGTTCAAATGTCACCAGATCAAATCATTAGATTGAGATGAGAGCACCCGGTGGAGAATGACGCTCGCCCTGAAGTTCCTGCTGTCCGTTTGACGTTCAAGACAATCGCTCTCTCTCATTGCTCAAATCATGACTGGTGGGCTCGGCAAAGAAAAGAGGGAGCTTGTCCCACGGCAGTGATTCTCGAGGAATCCCCGAGATTCTCATAAGTAGATTCCGCATATATTTGACGATAAATGGGGTATACACGATAAATGAGGCGTACGAAGGTTTGAGAGACTAAAAGCAAACCGTGATTCGATGTACTATGATAAGGTACAAATGTAATTGACTGGAACTCTAGATTTATCATCTCGAATATTGCTCGCTGATGATACAAGGCTAACGAATCTATTCGAGATCTCGATCTGGATCATCGTCGAACTCCCAGCGCGCATCCGGGTCACACCTGGCGACGATGCTTGCGAGATCTCTTCCTCTTTCTTCGCTTCACCAGCGTGATATCTTTGTTGAATTTCGGGGGAGCGGATTCCGTCTCTCCGTCTGTACTCGAATCGACTTGGAAAGAAAACACCTTCTCCTGTGTGGTTTCAATCTGTTCGGAACAAGCGTAGGCGACCGTCAGATATCCGTTCCATCCGTGTTCACTGGGGAGGATAATAGAGTAACGGAGAATAAAACGTTTTACCTCTTTCTCGAGGACCCGTTCGACGATTTCCACGGTTCGAAATGTGGGACTCGTTCCGTCTTGTGCGAGTTCCTGCGTTTCATGCCGCGAGACGTTTTCACTCACCAATCGCTCGCGTTCCACTCTCGTCTGGGGTCCGCTCGAGACGCAGCGGAGGGAAAGATGAGAGATCTGCGTGGAATTCTCTCTGGTTAAGCATTTTGGATGCTTCCTCATTCAACGAACTCCCGCTCACCGTCCCCCAACTTCACGGTTTGACCGGAATAATGACAGCATATTGACAGCAACGACTCCATCGTGCTCCAAGGAACAGAGCCATCTGGACCAACCGACTCCGACTCCACACGACTCGCAGAGCTGCCCGAGCGAGAAATCGCTCAAACTGAGCAGCTGAAGTCGAATTCGCAGTGTTCGAGATCCTTCGCGATCTGAGCGGTCAGACTGAACGGTCAAGGACATGATTTTCAGCCTTAGCTCGAGGAAAACAAACCTGGTTAGCGGCGGAAGTACCTCTACAATCACATTGCAACTACGAATACTTCGATGTCACATTCCCCGAAGAGCATGCATGGGATGCAGGTGTAGGCTGACGTTCTTCACGAGATCGAGTCTTTTTTCATGATTTTAGAGTTAGGTACATGAAGATCCCTAACTCGGCATGCTCCCAGCAAGGATGACTCGCCTGATCATCAACTCTGAATTTATTTTTGGTTGATCAGTGTTTTTTTTTTTCTCTCAATCACGTTCTCCCAGAAGACGCTGTGTCGGTAGGATAATAATATGCTCTCGTTGTTGAATATAGTTATGTAGCCCATATAATGATGTCTGTGAATTCTATTCGAACATACACGAATCGGGCTCAAGAATACTAACGATTTGCCTGATAACGCCGTTCGCGATGGAATCCACTGGACGTTCAGGAACGACCCATATGGTACATTGATCCACGGGACGAGATCCGCCTTCCGAAAAACAGTAATCGTTTCAGAAAATGGATGAATCGCTGCACTGATTCCAAAGTCCCGATCAGGATCACGACGCGCATGGTGGAGTCTCCGAGCAGCCTCCGTGGGAACATTTCTGCGATCAGGGGCCTTTTTTGCGATCAGGAACTCCCTCGTTCCCAAAACCACATTCTGAACGGTGTGTTTGAAGAACGGGGAGCGTCTCAAGGCTCATCTCACTGGACTCGCTCGAGCTTCAAGATTCAGAGTTTACAAGTTCAATCACCTTTTTTCCCCTGGGTCTTCGTACCAGATCGGGGAAATCAAGCCCGATCCCCAAGGTTCCCGTTTTTTCCGCCAGAAAAGTGTAAACGCGTCACCTTGGTCTGCTCACGCTTGCCCATCGATAATACTGTTTGATTTTTTCAGATCCAGGTCGAGACTCCAGTCTCGGATTCCGCCTCACGTGACATAGAAACATCCGAACCCCGGGAATCTGCGGCGCTTCGGGCGGCAGGACTATTCTCCATCCGTCTCCAAGCGGAGTCTGGGAGATCCTCGGGAGGCCGTCCCCCGCCGGAGCTTTTATGGAGGTCCCCGATGGATAAGCTTCAAGGACCCTTCTCCAAGTACCCTTCACTCCCGGAGTCCATCCGGCGGAACGACGACAAGAGACCTTTTCTCGAATGATCAGCGAGACTCCCGAACCATTTCGCACTTATGAATTCATGCGCTTTCCGCGGTTCAACTGCACGATCATTGAAACCCATGGTATAATTCCGATGTTGTTAAATATTTGTATATTATTGTAGGTAGATGTTCAACAGGACAAAATGCTCGGATCGACTTTCAAAAATAGAGGCCTGATTGGATTTCCATTGAAGTTTACAGATGTACTGACGCCTCGAGCGGGAGTAATCTCGAAACGCGACGAACGTGTTCTGAGAAATCCGATTTGCCCCATTTCGGCCACCGGATCGCTGCTATCTGCTCTCACAAATGACGTCATTTTTTCCCAGACTCACTACGAGAATGCTTTACACTGTCAGCTTTAGATGGTCCTTAGCTATTTCTTTACACTCGGTTCTGATCTCATATATATGTGGGTGATATTTATTTGCTTAATAAAATTAAATCTTTTTATATGATAATTCTATCTCATAGTGTACAGTGAATCCGTGGTCCGGACCCATGTTCGTCAACAAGCCGGAAAACGCTTCGCTAGGCGACTGTGTTTTCGCCTCGTTCACGACTCCGCAGCGGCGAACTGCCACGAGCGGAGATTTCAGATGATTGTGAAGGCCGTTACTTGGAGTCATATTAGACGGATTAACACGATTTTCAGTCAACTTCGAATGGTTCTTTATGATTTCACGACTGATGGATATGAAGCCTCAATTATGCTTCACTCTCGCCCTTGGTGTTTTCATCGTCCCGCTGTAAAATGCTCGAGTTAGTCACGGTCGTTCTCTTTATCTTCATGCCGGGCAATTTCAATACTCGGTGGAAAAAGGGCGATCGCTTCCAGAAGGAGAGACCAGAACCAATGGAACGGAAAGCTCAAAAATGCGAGTTCCTCATGCAACTGGCAGACGGGAGTTTCCGATGACGCGGTTGAGAAGATAGGTCAAACTTACCGATTCAAGCGTTCTCCGATGCACGAGAGAAAGAAACAAGCATGCCAAGCCAACTCCGGGTCCAAGCATTCCACAATCGATAAAAAAACATGCAGCAGGGGTTGGAACGGTCGAGCTATTCCGCTAAGCTGTCCGTAGCAGACCTTGTTCCTTGACATGAACGTGTGCTGCCTTGGCCGTAATAAACGTGTGCATCCATGAACGCATAGAACAATGAGCGCGAGCGTTTCACAAGCGCTCCCACTGCATGAGTTGTCGAATAAAGAGATGATCAATGCTTGCTCTCTATGACGCACGGAGGAAGCGACAGGACTTGCGAAGCTCCACTCACATACGAATGCTGAGAGAACGGATTCAGAGAAACAGCTGAGAAAAGCTTCAAGCCGCGGGCAACTATGTCAGGGAGGACGACGCGAAGCTTGTGGGACGAGGGAGCCGTGGACAAGTCGGAAGAGAAGATTCAATCGCACGAGGCTGCTCGTCGAAGATCGTAAGATGGCTCGCTATGGCATCAGATGCGAACTCGAAAAAGTCTAAGCTTCTAGTTGGCAGAGGAAGACGAGTCAAGACTGTGGGGAGATCTCAAGAGGGGAACGAGACCTACGAATTTTCAGTTTCCATCACATCGGAATTTCACTCTTCGGGGCGAGGGAGTCGGTTGATCGTGGTATCGCGGTAGAGGACTCCTGTTGCGGCGGACATGCACCACACGGCACTCCATGCTCACCGCAGCCGATTTCCGCCTGCCGCGTTTCTTCCGCGACTGGATCAAACTCGTGTGAGGCTCAACTCGATCAAATGCTACTCTATAAGAATATTTACGCCCTCTCATTCCTTTCGTCCACTCCAAAAAAGAACGGAACGTTCCCCAGTTGTTCACCGTGATCCCAATCCGTCAACCCACCAATTTCAAGAAGCCCACGAAAGCAACCGAAATTCCCACCATCACACCCACCAATCACTAAACTGACCGACCGCCCAGTCGATCAAGTCCCAGACCTCAAAAACCCGGATCGTTCATCGACTTACTTGGCTAGGAGTCCGGGCCCTAATCTGAGAATTTATGCTGTCCTGTGACTCGTCGTCGCTTTCCTCGCTCTCGGAAGACTCGGAACAAGAGTCGACATCCGAGTCGGACTCCGACCCAGATGAGGAACTACTAAGGTGGACATGCTCCGCGTGCTCGGCTTGGGGTTCCTAAGTGGAGAAGCGAAGCATGCGGTGGACTAACAACAACAACAACGACGACACTAGGCCGGCCGGGGGGCTGAGACGCGGTCAAACTATAGGCGAGGCGGGCTACAATCATCGATCGAATGAAACTTCAACGCATTCTTCAGTTCCAGAATCCATATCACAAGCTCCGCAAGCTTCTGTCATCGATAGCAGCAAGCTCTCTAAAGATCACTACGGATGGGGGTGGGGGAGGTTTCCGAATGATTGATTATCTTCACTCACCTCAGGGCTGGCATCGTTTGCCGCGTCTCGGGGAGCTTCGTCGGGCTTCACGACACTTTTCCTACTCATGAAAACGGTGGTCGTCTTCGAGCTCAGCACACTGTCTGTACTTCTGTCCAACGGCTTGTCTGTGTCTTCGCTAGCGTTCGTATCGACTAGTCGACCAGCTGCCTTGAGGACCTCCATGACTTTATGCTGTACCTGCTCGCCGCCGGATGGGGTCACTAACACATCATTAGAGATATCCTGAAAACAATCGAAATAGAACGTCAGAGAAGGCGTACGACTGGAACGATTCAACTCTACGTTTTGTCGCCTGATTCGAAAGCCTCGCCCACCTGACATTGGAGAGCGGCACCCGGGAAATTATTGTAACCATCGCATACGACAAACGTGATGGTGCTGCCGGCTGACTTTATGGTTGAGACGGCTTCTTCATGTGAAGTACCAAGCAATGATTGTCCATTGACTTCGACTATGCGCATTCCGACTTTGATGCGATTATCCCGGTGAACGGCGCCTTCGGTGGACACTTTCGACACGAAGACACTTTCGTCTTGAGGATCAAACGGATTGCCGCAGCTCCCGCTGACTCCCGTCCCACCTTTGATGTTCATCCCGAGTTTCTCACCGGGTTTCCGATTAAGGGTTATCTCTTGCCAACCCTGTAGGGAGAATATTTTCTGTCAGAGACGGAACGTGGTCATTGCCGCAATAGGAACATTTGATGATTAGGTGTGAAGAGCTCCGAGGAACTAGTCAGGCTCCGAATCCAGATTGGGATTCCCTCAAGAACGCTCCGTATTCAATCTTCACAACTTTATGAAGTTTGGTGATCACCTTAGGTAGGGTCTCGTGGTATACGTTGAGGACGAGATTTGGACCTGATTGCACCATCAATTGCACCACTTCCTGGTGAGATAAGTCATCGACAGACACTCCGTTGACTTTCTCAAGACGATCGCCAACTCGCAAACGACCGCACTGCGCCGCCAATGACGATGGAACTATCTTCGAGATGTACACTCCGCCTTCACCGGTCCCGAACGGATGGCAGAAATGGTCGCAGCCTCCGACTATGCTCAGACCCAGACTCTGGGTTGGGTTTTCCTTCGTCAGGGTGACGTCTTCGCTAGTTCCTAGAGGAAGGGAATGAAATGAGAGGAATTCGTGCGTCGTATGCCACTGGGAGGAATTGGCGATTCGCATTCTATTAGGACGCTGTGTTCCTCAAAACAAAATTGATGGTTAAATAGGATTCAAGCAGCATCCAAACTTTGGAGAAGAATACCATTCTCAATGGCGAGCTCGGCGGGCACATTATTGGTCGTTCGGGTCATCGTTGTTTCGGTTAGAGTCGTATGGGTAATAACCTCCGTAGTTTTTCCAAGGGTTCGAGGGGGTGCTGGGAATTCGGTGGAGAGCTCCTTGGATTTGTGACCTGCACACGCAGCGAGAGTTCCGGGAGAAGGAGTAGGAACGGGTTAGCATGCGAGGCCGGGTGTCTTCAAATCTACAGTCTACCACGTTTTCATTATCACGCTGGAGACTCTGGGCTCTCAGGAGGACTCCGCCAACAATCAGATCCTCGAGCGAGGTACCGAATGAGCTTCAAATGGATAGACACTACGGGGCGGTAGCCCCTCCTCGATTCGAAAAAATTTCGAAAAGGGGGATAAAACGTTGACCGTTCAGTTCTTTCGGGAAATTCGAAACAATTCGGGAATCGAGCGAGAATTTCGGAGAGACTTCGTGCGCTGGGAGGGCGAAAACTTATAGCTAAAGGAAAAACCGGGCAGCTAAGGTGGGCACGACTGCACGTAATAGAAGCTCTCCGATTCTGAATCTATGGTCTACCCACCAACTGATACTGAGATGTTGGGCTTCGGTGCTATAGGAGGCTTCCCGTTGTTCATTACGAGCGCCTTCGTTGGGGAGAGGGCTCCTGGGGTGGTGGATATCGAGCTTTCCGTCTGCCAATTTCTCAGTCCTTAAAATTAGTACAGCTCCGTTGAGAAATCAAAGGTAATGATGATGATGATCGGAACTTGCGCCTGCGGTTATGATTGGGTTCCATATGAACAGACTCAAGCGAGTTCTTACCCGGCAGTTTGGGCAGGGAAGCCGTGCTTGACCCTCCGAATGATGTGTTAAGCACTGACGAGTTCCCGAGAGAGCTTTGTGTCAAAAGGGGTGCTCTTTTGCGGTACGAACCCATATAGGACGGACGATTCGCCATGTAAGAGCTAGCGCTGTACACTCCAGACGTGTTTACCGAGGCTGGAATGGAAGAGGCTGATAAAAATTACGTGTGGGAAGAGAAGTTCGCCCGGACGCTGAGACTCCCTGTCCACCTCCAATTAGTTTCTTCCAAGCTAGCTATTCGCTTACAGTTTGGATCGACGGGCTCGAGGCGTTCAACGACAACTCTCACAAAGCGATCGAGTCCTGTCAAGCGACGTCGCACCGCTTCCAGATCGAGTCCATCCACGTCGATACCGTTGATGGACACGATGCGATCGCCCTCGCGCAGTTTCCCGTCCCGCCACGCGGAACCTCCTTTCACGATTGAGGAGACGATGTATCCTGAAGGAGGAAGGAGCGGATTATCGGATTATCGAGGATCGAACGGACCACAAGGTTTTTTTTTCCCTGTACCGGGTTGCTATAATTCCGTTCTAGAATCGTCTCCCACCTCGCATCGGTTGTTCCTCGACGTCGAAACCAAGACTGTTCCGATCTCTGATTAGCGTAGTGAAAATGATGTCACTCTTCTCCATCGTTGGCGTGTCCCGTCCGACGCCGAGAACGGGCGTCGATGGCTCGCTACGGGTTCTGGGTGCTGCGACCGGTCTTTCCTGGCCTCCGGGTCTGTCGGTTTTCTGATGTTGCACATTAATTTCGTAAGCGGTGGGTTTCGGCGATGTGATTTCTTGGGTGAGATTTAGGCGTTGCTCGGCGCTCTTCCACTCTTGCGCTGGTGCTTCGGGCGTCGATTCTGAGAACGTGCGGTTGAGAAGCGGCGACCGCGTGTATTCTCTCATCGTGTGCCGTTCGAGATGGTGTCTGTCCTCAGATCTATCATGACGGTCCTCGCCACGATCCATCAGCAACGCGACGTTCTGCTTCGTCTGTTGAGTGGAAGTAACACTGACCACGCTTTCGAAAGTCTCCTCCATGACCGAAGTCGTTTCAGATCGCCACTCCGTCAAGCCGGGAGAGCGTTCTATCCGAAGATTCAACACTGCACCGGCTCTTTTCAGGATGTCCACCTGTTTGGAGGAGAATGAGACAAATAATAAGAATACCGATCCACAAGCGTCCGCTACGTTCAACAAGATACTCCGCGGGTATGCTGCGCCGCGGCCTATGCAGAATCACGCGCAACCTTGGTAACTCGCTCCCAAGCTCGCTTCGCGTAAATTCGAATCGAGCCCAAACCCTATCTGAGCAGAAAGCGTAAACGACCGGAAGCTCTCCGTAGGATTAGGGAAGAAGTGTATCGCGAAGAATCGCGGGGCAGACGACGACAAGCAACGAGCATTAAAGAGGTAAGTTTCGAATAAGCAAAAATTACTCACCGCTTCATTGTGGTCCACGTCGACGAGTGAATTCTCATTGACCATAAGAACTTTGTCGCCAACTCGCAAGCCAGCCAGTTCCGCAGGTCCGCCCGGGGTGACCTGGAATGAGCGAAGAATGGACTTGATTATGGAGTCGACAGAAACGGACGAGGAACCGCCCAGACTCTGCCACGGGAAGGGGTCCGGAGAGGACTTGAGTTCAGTTCTCCCACACGAGCTCGAAATAGCGGTAAAGCGCCACCCTTCCTCCTCATTACAGTATTTAATTGAAACTAATCGATGCTTTTCATTTTGAAGAATACGCTGTCCATCTTAATCGAAGACGAGCGAAATTCCTCTCCCGTTTTCGCTGCGCGATTTTCAGAGAAATTCCACTCGGATGTATTGCCAGTCGGCGATTAGGTGCCTGACTTGAGAGAAATTACCATGATATTTGAAGAAAAATTACCTTTGATATGAAGATGCCTTCATCGTCTCCTCGGAAAGGCGTGGAGTTCCTTCCACCAGCGATGCTCAGCCCGAGACCTTGGGAACTTCTTCGCACCCTCAGCTCGTGCATTTCCACTCCAGCTCCTAGGGAATCGTTGAAAGCAGCGTTTTGGAAGGCAAAACCACCGTCCCCGCCTGAAGAAATGCGGACGGGTTAATACGGTGTCTCCCGGGTGGGGGTAAACGCTTATTCCCTCAAGGCTCCAGCAATGTCGATTCGTTCTTCGAGTCGATTGGCAGTTGTGGAACCAGATCGACACGGCTTGTCCCATCGATAAGCATGGAAACTGTCTCGAGGAGAAATAAACGAACTCGATCACTTACTTAGTGGTGTGTGGTGATTAGATTCGGGTGTGTGTCGATCCCTGGACTCGTTTTGTTGAGCGGCCTGCTCTCTCGCCAGGATCGAAGCCACCTAACAGAAACAAGGGGAGAAACACAAACGAAAACAGTTTAGGACGGCTGGTATATCGACTCTCATTGAGACGTTTTCGCTCGGCGGATTAACATGCTCTCAATGCGACGATTCCACGTGCAGGAACTCAATCCGAACAGAGGCGAAAAGTTCCTTCGAACGCAACCGTTTTCTCGCGCCAGCACGGGGAATTCTTTGAGCAGCGTCGGATAGAGCGGGTAAAACATTAGAGAAACGCTCGTTGCCTACGAGCCGATAGAACAGAAGCCATGTCACGACTCGCTTCGGAAAAATATTCTATCCGAATGCTTTCCACCCGCACTTCGCCAGATACTGGTGATGAGCCTTTCATTCTCTTAGCTTATTGGCGGCGGCAAGTACAACGATCGCATCTTCAGAATCCGAAAGATGATCCTTCACAGACGATCGAAGGTCTTGACAGCCATGCGCGTGGGCGATACCTGCCGTACCGTTTTCTTCCATTTTTTCCACATCACAGTCCTCCGATTTTTCCGCACAAACGACAACAGAAGGAGCGAAAGCAGCAGAACTGCACCTCGGCCGGGACTCTGTCGGCTCTGAGATACTCGCGTTCCTTTGGCTTTCACGACCTGTGTTTCGTGCCTTCATCTTCTTCAAGGTCTTCAATCGTTACGACCTAGTATGCCAGCGAAAAGCCGTTCTCTCTCATCACAGAATCACAACACGCTGAAAATTTCGCGCCGACACCGTCTTCTGCGATTTCCGCTCTTCAGACGAACAAAATCCAATGACGTCCGTGGTCAAGTCACGCGGGTCTCATGACTAGCAACGGTGGAACCGAGCTCGAGCGCATCGGATTCGAGTCGAACGTACGCAAAATACGCTCAATTCGGACTCGGCACCACGGGATACCGGACGGCATTCTCGGAACTCGCAGCTCGGTCCGCGTTCACCGAACGCTTTCTGCCACTCCTCCTTTCGGGGAAATGAATCCCCCGCTTCGCGCTCACGACGAATTGAGGAAAAACACATTGCATACCCTGCACGAGTAAGCAAACGGCAACGGCCGTCTCCTGGGGTCGCATCGCATCTCGACGCCTCCGGGAACGCTTCGAGGAAGAACGTCAGAACGCGTCCACAGACGTCATCTTGCACTGCACGGTCTCATACGATCCGGGAACGATACCAGCCTCTCCCACTGAGCAGCCAGACGGGCTTGGGCCAGCCTGCTCGCTAGCGGGTCTATCGCAATCCACTAAGGAGCGAACAGTCTGGCGGGCAAGTAGTAAGCAGGTAAACTGCCTGCCAGCAAGCCTTCCTCCATCTAAGCAGGCGGACACGCTGTATGTAGGCAGGTAGGTTGCAACGCACACACACACAGCCGGCAAAGGCAGGCAGGTTGGCTGACAGTCAGCTAAGGCACCCTGAGGCGTTACGGCCCTGACAGTTCCGTGTGGGCCGCCGTTCAAACAGTACGGCAGTGATACAGGCAGATCCTCGGTTCGCAGCGATGAGTGACTTGAGACAAGCCAATTCAGGTTCTGGCAAAACGTCGGACCGCAAGACGCGTCCGGGACAGGAACATATCTCGTGTGAACTGGCAGTAGACAATCTGATTCGATGAAGGACGGAATCGCCATACCACATGCCACTGGTGGTCTACGAACATCAACAACGTTGAACTTAGTCCGCCCGTCTGCCCGCCCGCCCGTCCGTCAGTCAGTCACTCGGGCAGTCAGTCCGCCTGCTCGGCAGCCCGTCGGAGGGAGAATATAGGGCAGCGCACTTATACGATTCGTCAACTTCCGATTCGGGTGCGCTCACGGACAGTCGTAGCAGGTTTGACTCCGGAGAGCCTTGACTCACTGAATGGTAGCGCTCATTGAGAACCTGAGCATCGACATCGAAAGAATCAACAGCGGCAACGTACGGCGGAGACCGATCGCTCGCAGTCGCACCGAGACTCGCTTGAGCCAGTCATGAATTAATCAACGCTCACGTACATCCCTCACACGTCACTGAAATCGCCTCATCAAGAATTATTTTCCGGCCTAAGATTTCCCGGAGTCGCAGATTAACGGTGGGCTCGGACGGAGTCTTCTCCTCCTGCTTTCGTGGAACACACAGCAGAGTCTGTATACGAGTTGGATTCATCCGAACACGGCCAAGCGAACAGGTTCTGCGGCGTGAGTGAAAGCGTCGAAGCGCATTCGAAGATCCACAAGGACTCGAAATAGCAGGGTTGCGGGTGCCGGCTCAGAGGTGATTGAGAGTGAAGAGTGTAATCAATTGGTCAGAACAATTTTAAAGGCGCCCCGGACGACGGAGACGGCTTTCGTCCGAATGGGAACGACAGCGTTTAGAATCGAATTTAGACCTTCGCTCCAAACCTCGCTCCGAGTCCCACCGGGACGCGGTGTCACGCCGCTGTGAAGGCCAGGGTCAAGCACAATGGTGCCATGCGGATGATCTGTCTGTTCAATGTGACAAAAAAAAACTCATGACGGACGAATTTCATGCCGCTAGAAACGAACTCAAGAAGGCCTGGAACTGAAGACCGTGCTTCGCGGATGAAGATCGAGAGATGCTGAATTCGAACAAAAGATGAAGTCATACGTATGGGCTCTCCTCTCAATCGAAAGATCTGGAGAGACCTCATACGAAAGCTCTGACAGCGAATCAGGACAACTCAGGAGGCACAGGCGTGGCGAGGTGCAGACAGCGAGCTTGCGAATGCTCACAGACCTTGTCTTTGAGATCGGCGTCCTTAGGTGTCGTCTGTCCCTTACTTTGCTGGGAGACGCGCTTGTTTTTCAAATGATGAGGTGTGTCCCTCCTGTGCAGTTTCAACGCGTCCTTGTCCGGGTTCTCCTCGGGCGACGAATCTACATCTCCAGTGAAGCCCACATGCTTTTGCGTCACCAAACGCAAGCAACGCTATATATGTATCACCGTAATGTTAAACCCTCCTCTAGGGACCTCTTCATGATGATCACCGTAAACTACTACCGAAACGGCTCCCACAGCCGACTCTAAAGCTTTGCCCCTTCCAGAACACTGCGAAAGCAGTCAGAGAAAGCATTCTCATACTCACTTGAGGCCTTTCGTCAGCGGATTCGCTCTCTGATTCATCTTTCTCGTGTCGCTGGTGATCAAAAGTAGTTTGAGCATCTGCGAGAAACAAAAATCCGGATTAGATCGTTCTCTCCTCCGAACCCAATCCGCGACGCCCGGACAATCACTGTAGAGACTTCCGAGGATCATCGGGCCAATAACTCGTGCGGTCCAATTGGCCGAATTGAAAAAAATTTCGATACAGACAATAATTCCGAAGGGAAGACTACGACGATTCCCATCGGGTCGTACAATTACCAATCGAGAGACCTTCGATAGAGGAGGGAATCGGGATGATCTCGTAGACAATAACCTCGGATCGGAGCATTACCTTTGAAACTTTCATTGTCGCTGTTATTGTTGTCATGGTGGATATCGTCCTCATTACTCTCGAGTGAAGCGGTGTTTCCCTCGCGGACTTTACTAATGTACTTTTGGTGACGAGCCCGGAGCTCCTTGGGATGGGGGTGTCGTGACGAACGAACTGCGTCGTCTGCGAAAAATTTTGCGATCGATCACACAGATATATCATCATCGATCAAAGCGATATACGGTGACGAATTGCACTAGAGAGGAGTGCGCAAACAATACGGCACAAGACGAAACTCTCATTTGATAATGCAGAGATTGCACCGTCTCAAGGCAAGCTTGCTGAGGTATAATTATTGATTATATCAGTCATTATTATTTACTTTAGTCGATTCCGGGTTCGAGTCGAAGAACTTGACTTGGCTCTCTCTCTGCGGCTGGTCGTCTGTAGGACTCTTGAGATTATTGTTGGTAATAACGGAGGGATCTAACGGGCCATCGTCTACGTTGTAGTCCTGTTGCGGCAGCAAGAAACACGTCAACACCTGGGAAGAATTTCAATATTAAAAATACTCTTATATTTTTCGCGAATATTAAAAAGGAGAGGGGAATAAGGATGGCATGACTTAGAGGAATCACTCCTGGGAATCTGAGTTTATTTGATTTTTGTGTCTCCCCAGGCATCTGCGTATCCGAGGGCCGCCTCTTGTCCCGAATCGAACAATAGAACTGACCTTTTCCCCAGTTTCTTCATCGACGTCTTGCTGGAATTTAAGCAAAGGTTGACTTTGGTTCTCGGCGAGCCACAGAGCCTTGAGGCGGAGGGAGGCCATTGAGATGGGCAGGTTCTTCAAACGGTTCCCTGGTTTGGAGAGGAAGACTCAATTATTCATTTCATCACATCGGAGTGGTACAGGAAAAGTCCGCGTCATGAAACATCGGCCGGACGCTTGATAATCCGATGGCGCACTCATTTCCCCGAATTAGGAGAAGACTGACGCGGCAAGAGGTGTTTTCTCACCAGAAATGTCCATGACGTGCAGGGACGAGAGGTTTCCGATCTCGAGCGGAAGTTCACTGAGACGGTTCTCCCGCAGAGACAACATGGTCAATTTCTCTAATTTTCCTGGAATCGAAGGTTTTGAATGAGAAGAGGAGAATGAAATCAGAGATCCTGGATAACCACAAGCGTCGCATCTCCGATGGAGGGCTTGTCGAAAGCTTTCAGCACCCGCTGTTATCGAGAATCGTCCCCGCTGCTCCAATGATTATACAAATTATCGCGTGATTTTTTCCCCCTCGGTGGAGCCGAAATTAGGTTGGGGCGGCGGACCCGGGCTCTCTCTATTGGATTCTCGGAGTCGACTGAGTATTTTCAAGTTCTCCCAGGTATCCGCTCTCATCACGGCTCTCATCACGGTGCGCTGCGTGGAGGGAGAACTCACTCAGCGCACGTTTTATTTTAGCAACGCATGAAAACAAGAGCTCCAGAGACCTGCCCAAGTGCCAGACTTGCGGATTAAAATCGCAACTGGGCCGAGCATCTGCATACACTAGGTTATAAATACAAATAGTCTCGTCCGCTCCTGGCACGGAAAACCTATCAGCGTCCTGACCGCCTGGAAGCTCGCCTGCAACCTCCAACAGCCGGTCGAGCCACGGACCACTTCTCCCAATAGATAGCTCCGGTATAGAACATGTTATTTCTGGCCACGGATCCGCCCTCATTGGCTTCAATTAAATGACTCCCTGAATCCCTTCCGCGCTGCTAATCCACGTCGGCACTCCCGAGACCGTTGCCTCTGCTGCGACGACCAGGAATACTACGACTACTTCGGCTCCATCTGACGCGGATCGTGATAAGAAAAGAGCGACGGGAGTAGAGGAAGCTGCTGCACGAACTCATAGAGCATAGAACTCCGGGCTAATGGCCAAGAATCATAGACATCAACGGGAGTTCCAGCCGCGGTGGCGGACAAGGCGAAATTCGACAAATCCGACGAGACATTCCGCGAGGAACGAAAAAAGACCGTGTGAGAGTTCGGTCTCTCTCCATGTGATCCGATTAGTCCCTAATTACCCCTACAGACTGTCGTCACGATCCGTTCTACGTGACGACATCTGGGAGCACCATGGCAGATCTATCCGACATGATTCGTGTAACTGTTCTCTCTTGAACCGAAGGATCAATCCAATGCTACAGCGCTCGGCTGACTGACTGACTGACTGACTAAGTTTATGCTTCGCTAGTCGTTGACGTTCGGTTACAAACAGCTCACCAATGTCGGGAGGAAGCCGTTGTAGAAGGTTGCGGTCGATATTCAGGTTCGTCAGCTTTGTCAAATTGCCGATATCCGGAGGAACTTGGGTCAATTCGTTATCTGTCAGGATGAGTTCCTGGAGGCTTTCGCAATAGCCCAACGAATCCGGTATGTGGGAAATGTGGTTCTGGTCTACCTTCAATATTGTCTGGAACGGGAAGCGACGAAATCGGGTTATAAAATGAGGTCACGACAGAGGATCGAGAACTCGAGGGAATTTCAGCAAGAAGGAGCCCTCGGAGGGAGTTCCATGAAATTCGATATTGCGTGCCGGGGGCAGGTCCTTGCCTGCCAACTTTCATAGATTCTCTATTACGTCGTCGCTCGGGACGCAAGAGCGTTCTTTCGCTTTTAGCGAGCGAGAGAGCGACAATTTTGAGCCGCGGCCAAAAACAAAGCAGGTGTTACAAAATGGATCTCGACAATAGAGTGACAATCAATATGGAGCCGACACCTTTCGGTCTCATTCGATCATTTAGCTGGCGTCGCTTATCGCTGCGACAGAAGCCGTGGTGTTGGTTTCTCGTGCGAGGGGCCGACGGATGAATCTGCTGCTGCTATTGTCAGAGAATCTTCGCGTCACGAGGGATACAATTAGCGCAGAGCATATTTTGCGATAAATCTAGCCTCGTCCCACACGAAACCTTGTGATTTTCGTCTGGGACCGACTGTCGCCCATGACCACCAACACCGTCCGCCGCACAATTGACGCGGAGCCGAGGCGAGCGCCCTTGCGGGCTGGGGCCACAATGTCGAGGATACCGTACTCACCAGCGTCCGGAGCTTTCCTATGTCTTTCGGTAACTTGGTCAGGAGGTTCTGTGAGAGCAAGAGATCCGACAGCGAGCTGAGCTGACAGATCTCGTTGGGCAGGGCTTCGAGACGGCTTTCGCTCACATCGAGACATTTGAGACGGGAGAGTTTTCCGATATCCCCCGGTAAACGGCTCAATGGGTTGCAATCCAGCCAGAGCTCTTCTAGAGATTCCAAGCGCCCAATCACCGGCGACTGTGAATGAATATCGCCATGTCAATCGGAATCTGACGTCCATCAAGACTCGGATTCCAAGGAATCGAATTTCTGAATGCCGTACCGGATACATCCCGGATTGATGCTTACCAACTCCTCAATTTCGTTGCTGCCGAGATCGAGTCTCTCTAGGTGTTTCAACTGACCGAAAGAGTCTGGTAGGTTCTTCAAAGAGTTGTCCCTCAGCTCCAGGATGGTCAATGACGACAACATACCGAAAGCCACGGGCAGAGCTGCCAGAGCTACATCATTGAGGTATAGGGCGTTTAAATTCTTCAGATCTACGAGGAAATCCGGCGTTCGATAGAGACAGTTCTGACTCAGATCTAGCAGTTGGAGATTGCGCAGATGACGGAGTCCTTCGGGGATGTCGCTGATATCTGTAGAAGACGATATGAATTCATTAGAAAACCGTCGACATGTCCACCGGTGCCGGAGATCGCCCCGATTCTCAGAATGGGAAGACGAGGCGAATGCTACGTGGATTCGGGCGAATCCGAGCTGGTTTCTGAGCGATTCCAGTGTGATTCATGAAACTACGATGGACGGGGGGAGTCATGACGGAGACGTATGGCTACAGAAGAAACGAAAAATTCATGATCATGAGCCCGGAACGAGAATGACTTCATTTCGATCCAGTAATACAGAAGAAAGCGTGTCTTCACGTCATGAGAAGAAGCGCAAATCGGAACAGCACGGAGTGCTCGAGCGGCACTCCTCCGTCATGTTTCAGACTTCATTTACGCACAATTCTGTCGATGTGGGCGTTCTGTTAATATTTTGTTCCTCTTATTTATTTTCTCGCGAATACAATTCAGCGGATGCGGCACGCCGCGCCGTACCAGGGACCGATCGCCAGCACGGCCACAAGTGATCCTCGAAAAAACGAGCGTAGGATCCAATGAACTAAGCGTTTGACGGTGGCAGGTCGCTCGGCCGACCAGTTGCCCACCGTTTGGCTTTCGATTTTTAGTTTTCGGCTCGATCTACCACCTCGAGCCTCGACATTGGCTCAGCCTGACTAGAAGAAGACCCCTCCGAAAAAGCCGTGGGTCGTTTTCGTACGGCGTGTTTGTTAATTTCACGCCAATTCTCTTCATTTCTTCCTCCCCAACGGTGAAGAGTCACTAGCACGGACACACAGACGCACAAGGATCACGAATAGATCCTTCTCACGCAACGCTCAATGCCAACGGCAGAACGAAAAAATCTAAATCTTGAATTTCGGGCCATAAACGCGCGGCCCGGCAACATCCGATCCGTCGGGGAGAAACACCGAGGAATACCGATGCGCTCCTCGGGTATGGAGAAGTCGACACAAGATGAATATTCAAATTCGCTTCTGCCAGAGTCTTATATGTCCGGAAGAAGAATACATGACTTTCGAGCGGCAAATACAATCATACGCAAGATTCAGAGCTCGAGGGAATTCGATCCGACGGATGAGTCAGATCGCTCAGTACTCCTAGCGAGCGGGAAAATATATGTCAAAAGATTACGACACCGTCTCAATGCTATTATGATACATAATCGAAGGCTACCGGCTCAACGGAGCAATCTAGCCTCGCAACTCGCAATCAATCGCCGAGAGGCTAATCGAACGCGGAAGTCGGGCTAGGATTCGATGGAGAAAATCTTTTCCGTATATATGCGGGTGATCCTGCATCTAAGGAGTCACCTATATGACGCTACGAGCAACTGTCTATCGTTGGGGACAATCGGATATTCTGCGGGCGTCCGCGCATCATTATCCAGGGAGAAGAGTTGAGATAAATGATGACATCCGATAATGCTATCGGAGGGAGAGCTCCAAATCTTCGCACACACAGAAAGAAGCACACGGACGACTCATATCAGTCAGGAGTATCGCACATTTCTCCCGTGAACTGACCATTCCTCCTGGAAGAGCTGGCTTTCTGGGGTTTCCCCAACATATTCATCCACCAAGGAATCAGTTGAGGAGCAGGAGCGACGCTAAAACCGGTCAGCAACTTTCACCACGAATGAAGTCTAGCAACTTGAACGCACAATGCACTGATCCAGAACGCTCAGTCGGGAACTGAGAGTCCGTGCCGACGTAATAAGCTTCGTACGTTCTTCTTCGATCTCGAAGCTCGACACGGGCGCTCTTCGAACGGACAAGGCACTCGAAATCTTCAAAAAACGATGGGAAATCGGGAGAGCAAGTCCGATTGAAGCTAGGTCATTGATCATCCGTGGCATCGGAGCTCGCAAACGAGGAAGGGCAATGCGACGACGAACAGTCTCTACGCCACTCCGTGTTCGAATGGTTCGAGAAGAGCTTGAAAACATATTCCGCACATCTATACTAATGAGGATTTCCGTACTCGACGCCTCCATTTCGCGTTTGCGACAGTGGTGACAAACTATTCCGCTCACTCCTCGCTCGAGCCAGTTAGCTACTCCACCGACCGACCGGCCGGCAAGCCGGCCAGCCAGCCAGCCAGCCAGCCAGCCAGTCGGTCAGTCATTCCGTCCGAGAGCCAGCCTCCCAGGCTGGCGTCTCGACGAGGCCTCCTCCATGCTGGTTTTCCGTCGCAGTCTCTTAGCACCAGGGAAAATCTCCGTCCACCGAGGCTCATTCCTCAGTTTCATTTCGGGAAGGAGTTCCGCGGATAGCGAAGCAGATGCGAACCTGAGGGTTGGCGTGGCATGCAGCGGACTGCATGGGACACAGAATACCGCTTACGAAAGGAACAATGGAGCAATGTAGGATCGGTCTCTGGAGAGAGAGACGGAGAGAATTGGACGAGGCAAGACCAAAGGTTCTCCCTTTGTATTCATGGAGATTGCTTCTGTCGCTGCGAAGCATCAGCGCGATCCCGTTTGCAGAGCGAAGCACGCATCATATGAGGCATTTCTGTAGCGGGTCGGGAGCGAGCAGAAATACTTTCTGCAATCGTATCTTTCCATAAAGGCTGCCGTAGACCAGTACAGTAGCATTCCTCAGAAATAACCGCTTCTCGGGCGTGGTCTTTATGAGAATTAATGCACAGCTCCCGTTTGACGACAAGTAGAATGTTTCCCCGAGACCAGTGTTCAACAAGCCTTGAAGCATCAAGTGTAATTCATGAATGACCCATCCATCACTTCTTATCCACTGCCGACGTCAAGCTCCTACTTTAATGAATAGCTGTCGCCCTTGTTTTCCTCCTCACACCCCACGGCGGCGTCGTCCGCTGAGTGCACCCTCCGATCCGGAACTTGCTGATTCGGAAGGAGTTGGACTCATGAACAAATTCCACAATATGGTACGGGGGCGGCTGGCATTGTCGTCTGCCGCTGGTCTTAAGATTGCCGCGATAGAAATTCGTCGATTCCGTATTCGGTTTCGATCGTCGCGATGAGTCGAGAAGAGAATCGGTGATCGTGGAAAGTTCACCCAGAACACCGAATTATCGGTAATTCATTCCCTGATGCCATGCCCTCCGGCGAGGTACAGACACCTTAGAACAATGAATGAACGAACGAACCAAGCTTCGATCATTTCCTCTGAGCCATTGAAAGTCAGTTTTGTTGGATGTTTCTGCGTACCGTGCTTCAGTGTTTACACAGCAATCTAACGTAACTGGCATCGCGCGACCTGGTTATCGCGAAGCACCTGCCAGCCACTAAACCAGTCGACTTCACCTTGGCTTCACGAAGTCGTTCCCAACCAAACATAGAATAACGGTATATCACGAGTGCGTCCAGCCAGCTTCCACCATTTCGCTTGTTATCGTCCTCGTCGTCATTATTATAACTCTTTCATCCGCCTAGCCAGCATCGGCGCATCCGATCGACCGAAAGCCCACGTATTGAGAGATTCTCGAAATCGACCCACTGAATAGGCCATAGGCCTCATCGTGATTCAGCAGGGACCCGTGCTTGCGTCTCTCATTCGATAGACCCGAAACGATGCGTTGGAATTTGAATTCGAAACGAGTTCAAAAAGGGACAGCTCATCCGAAGGTGGAATCCTCAAAGCTTCCGGATGAGTACGAAGTTGGAAAGATGACTCGAAGTCCACAACGTGGGACGGGGCCCATTGCGAGATCAAGGCAGACCTGGCTCGCAATGACTGGCTCCAATGAAGCACGAAACCTCTGCGGCCGAACGACTGCACCGACGTTCCTCCCCATGTCCGACATAACGGGAGACAAGCACTGAGATGAGCGCAAACATTGCATCGATTCCACGTCGATGGCGTTCCGGGGATTATGATAAAGAGACGCGGACCGAATAGCGGGCGACTCTACGTGGGATGTTCCTCGGAACCGTGTCCGGGTATTCCCTTCAGCGCAGAGGCAAATTCGGACCTTCAAACGCAGATGTTCTCTCGCATTTCCCCGGAATGCGGGTCCTGTCCGACGGCGTAATCGGACCTATGCGACAGAACACAAACTAGACATACATATCTCGACCTGGAAGGGAGTCGGTGTCAATTTTATTCAAGAGAGATTCCGCAGCGCACGCTTCGACCTCCTACCTGACCGCCTGCTCTCTTACCCGCCCCACCCTGCTCTCCAGATCGATAAGGCCCGGGATCGAAGTTGTTGTTTCGCTAGGAAACAGGAGCATAACACGGGCTCGAGAACCGCTCCCACGAAGCCTCAACAACCGCGAGAGTTCAAACCGGACAAGCATTCCAGAGAGGACCTACTGGAGTACTCCACATCCATGGGAATCCTCGAGCGCCGATATAAGTTCTCTCAGGCGTCGAACCTCCTGATCCAGTCAGATGCCGTCGTATGAAGTCGAGTGAGCTCTCCAATAATGCCGTCGTTCGGAGCAATCTAGAGAGGACCGAGACCCCATAACACCAACGAACTACATGAGTCACGACATCGGTCCGTCGGGTCGCCCGCGCGAAGCAAACTCATTTTCGTTCACGACACCGTCGGCGACCGAAAACTCCGAGCTCCACAGCTAGGCAGCCTGTCTGACGGACGGGAAAGCTGTTTTTCGTCCAACTCGCTCCCAATCCCGCACATGTATTTGCTCTACTGAGGGGGAAACCGGGAAAAGGCAAGCCGAGCCTTGATGTGATCAGCTAACGAACATCGGCTTGTTCGTGGGAGATGACAACATCATTGGACTTCATCGGGTCGCTGCCTGCCTCGACAGCCGAGAATTTCGATACACGTCGAGCAGAGGAATCCCACGTCACCACAAGACCAGCTCGAATGGTAACTTGGACGAAACGAGACTCTGCTAGCTGATGTAGCGCCGGCGCCCGTGCAAGACACCACCCAACTCATCAAGGTCCTCCGTTCGACGGGACTCAGCGAATATAACAACAGTTACGACAAGGGTCCGAGATAGCTCGAACGTTTTGGCTCGAGCGTTGTTTCGCGTGCGCTCGAAGGTCCAGTGAAGGACGTATTCTTTTAAGACGGATTTTAAGGGGCACTGCATCGATTTCACGCTTCTTATATGGCTCTGATTATTTGTCCGACATCGAAGACGGCTCCGTCCCCGGGCGCTCCGCTCCTCGCCTGTCAGGGATTCTAAGGCTCGAGGATCAATTACGCCACGCAGGAGAATCGCAAGACTGCGCATAACGCACTTACATCGCCTGCTTCCGCTGCTCGTCCCGCCTTGGAGCCATCGTCCCGGGGTGGATACTTCCGTTGAGAGCAGTATTCTCAGAGGGTGTTCCAAGCAATGGAGATAAGGGGCTCCACCGTCCTGGAGGTCGGAATTTTCATGAGCCGCTACGAAGAGCAGCCGCTCGATTAATTTTAGGATGTCTCTTTTCTCCTGGTTAGGTCGGTTCAGTCAGCTTGAACGGCAACTACAGTCCAATTAGCTACTCGCGCTTCCAAAGACGGCAGAGGCGTCCGCAGAAAATTCGTACAAATCGAGCAATGATGTCATCATTTTTACTAAATGCTGGGGAGGGGCCCGGGCATCAGTCGTGCCTCGTGCCTCGCGCGGAAGGAGCAACGTGACGGCCAGTAGTCTCATGTCGAGAGTTCCCCCGACCCGGCGTGCAGCGGAGAGCCACTCTATCGTCCGGGAAACACGCAGGAAACTCCTGAGCCACAGACCGATAAACTTCCGAATCGACAGTGACCAGCCCTCCACGTCGATTCCGTCTCGACAGATATCCGAGATGTCGACCGCAAGAATCAATGCATTCACTTGTAAACACTCTCTCGATCGCGCCAGCGGTCGGAAACGTCGACCGACGCTGCTCGACCACTGAGTTCACTCACTCAGCTGAAATCTACGATCTCAGACAATTCTAGAAGAAGCTCATTCTAAGGTCGGATCCTACAAGATTAAGCATGAGAGTCCGCTCGAGACCACTCGACTCCCATTTCTCCACAACAACCTGTAGGGTGTAGGCTTTCCGACGTACTCCGTAACGAGCTGTGGAATTTCGATACTCACCGTTTTTCGAAAGGTCCAGTTCCTGCAGGAGCTGCCAGGCACCGATATCCTGCGGTATTTCCTGGATCTCATTGTCAGAGGCCGTGAAAACACGTAGCTTTTGTAGACGGAATAGGTGCTGCAATTCGAAAATTTACACATGAGACTGAGGAATTTGTGAATGTCGAGCGTCCGGATTGTTTATTCGCTCTGCGAATTCGGTGAGCGAATGATCCTTGTGGATTGTGGATGCCGATGCCTTTCAGACAAGGTTTCGAATTCGTTCAATTTATGCATGCCGAGAAATTCGTCCGTCGAGCTACCGGTCTCAAGGATAGATTCTACTGGGTGAGACCGAGGTCGCGGAACAGACTAGCAATTGAGGACCTTTTGCTTCAGACGAGGAAACCACTCGGATCTGGCACGACCGCCGATAACAATCCAGAGGAAATCGTCCTACGGCAGACGGTCATGTTGATTCTTTGCAGGTTCTTTGTTCCGGCGGAACCCATGAAAGTTTCTAAAATATTTACACGGCACCGACCGCTGTTTCTTTCTGGCGCTGGTTTGCTAGCGGTCCATGGTAGATTCGTACTACGACCGCATAACCATCGAGTGAGCCACACGCTTCGGCACTACTTGGACGTCAGATTCCCCCGAGGTGTAAACCATGGACGACGTTCTGATTACCAGAATGAGATTTAACACCAAGCTCGTCATGTGCTCTGCCATTCATGGCTCCGAGTGGCGGACCATGCGGTTCGCCCCTGACTTTCTCGATTTAGCTTGTTCTATCCGATTTGGTCTGCTCAAGTTTTCGGCGATTTTCGGTCCATCATCAGAATAGGCTCGTAGCGAAGACGGTCAAGGGGAGCAGTTAGAGTCTCAGAACAGCTATTCGTGGGAACGAGGAATTTCAGAGACAAGATCACGGATGTGAGCAGCTCGCATCTCCACGGCGACCGGATCAGTAGATAACATGAGGCGCGATCGAGTGTTCCAGCTTGCGATCGGAATCGAACAATCGCTTCTGCCTTAGGTGAGCCTGTAAGACTAATGCAATGCAAGTCTTTGGCTCCGTCTTCGGGGCGCGGGAGAGGATTCCTAATAACCTCGACCGAACTCCGGAGTTGCGTGAGAAGAAAGCAGGGAGAGCCTGCCCATTCCCGGGGCGAGATTACGGCGATATTCTCGCTAGATGCGTTGCCGTCTCCCCATGAATTGATCCGGGAGCGTTCACAAACTCGGGAACTCTTGCTGAGCTCTGAGATCCATCACTCGTCGAATAATTCTATCCGGACTCGCTCCATTCCACACCAGAGCCGAACCTAATGACTATCAGATGAAGTCAATCCGGTCTCAAACGATTTCTTCCGCCACGTCCCATCAAATTCCCGAGTTCGATAGAGCTCCGGCTTGGCCCTCGCGGTTGAAAAGCTCGATTCACAGCAGAAAATGCGAGAATCTGTCTCCTCCATCGAGAATTTACGCGCCTTCGCTCCGGAATGTGATTGATCGTTTGATAGAGAGAATAAGATTTCGAAGCGTCCGGCCGCTCAGGATAGTCTTTCAGATGCGACAAGATATGATTAGCGGTAGCCACAGGTGTATGAACGAGTTCACAAACACACCGGCTTCACGCCGCGCCGCATCTTAAGTGTTTGTTCAGGCAGAAAACAATGCCGCGAATACAGAACTGGTTCCAGATAAATTTCTCTTTGGCCAGAACAAAGCAGCGGTCGTCGAGACTGGCGTCGCCGCCGCGAGAACCGTGAGCGTCGTCGCCGGCGACTCCGAAGTCAAGACGCCTCACTGACCGTTGTGTCGGTCTTTTTCTTCGTTGGCAAGCATCACCAGCTGCCTGAAACGAATCTGCCGGATCCTATAAGACGAACACTACATGGACCGGAAGAATTCGAGATGGAACAAACTATCTCGACCATCATTGTTCTCGGTGATTGGTGTGAGTTCGCGAGCTAGGAAAGCTGTGAGCCGGTCAGTTTCCCTCCAAGGCCCCTTTCCGGTGAATCATCGTGAACGAATTCCAGCGATCCCACTACATCTTGAATGAGTTACCGATGACATCTCGATGGGATTACCCACAGACCAAGAGGTCTTTTTGTCGAGGAACCAGCGACGATGCTCAGAAACGCATCCTCAATTAATTGAGATCAGGATCACTTCACACACCGAGCAGATGCTTTGTTTCAAGCACTCCTCTCCAAATATATATTTCGATCTGAGAGATTTCCAATCGTCTAAATCAGCCGCTTAGACAGATTCTTCCAGCCCAGAGGAGGACAACTGCTCACTCACTCACGCGCGCTCACACACACACAGCCAGACAGATAGACGAGAACGAGCAAGAAGGAGACACACCCAATCGACCACATGGGAGTTTCTGGCCGGTAATCGTAAGCGCTGTGAGCGTTGAGCGCCTTTATTCATGTACTTCAACAGGTCTCTTCGGAACAGGACCCTTTCGGATTCCTTGTTCCGTTCGCTCGCTTCCGAACGATTCGGGTGATTCACCATCGAGAATACACCGGGATGAAGACCGGACACGCACAGGAACACTGACAGTCGCCACGAACCGCTTTCGAAGCCGAACCCGGCATCCGACACATTATATTTTCCCCACCCACACGTGAAGATCACGATTCCTCTTGAGAGTCCATTCGCGCCTAGGATGATTTCCTCTGACAGAGTCGCTGTGACAGAGTATGTCAAGGTTAAGAATGAGGAAAATCCACAACTCACCTTAGGCAACTCCTTGATGTGATTCGAGTTGAGAGCTAGCTGCTCAAGACTTCTGTAGCGACCGATTTCCTCAGGTACCGCCACGAGATTACTGTGACTCCGATCTACGCGCTCCACACGTCGGTTGGAGCCGCGGAATATGGGCGGCATGCATTTGAACATTTCGATTGTGCTCCGATAGCCGTCAAGTATGCCGTTGTTTCCGGAGGATTGCTTTCTTCGAAATTATTCAGTCGATGATCGGCTGGACAGACGGCAGCAGGTCAGCGCAGCAACGACAACAACAAATCACAACAACATCAGCAACAATAATGATGATGGTGATGATGTCGACGGCGACGACGAGTAGCGTATTTTAACAGCAACAACAATAGCCGACAGCACTGTGAGTTGGGCACCGCCGGATGGATTCCACTAGCAGCACAGCACAGTCCGTTCTAATCCGATCTCGATGCGGAGCACCAACACAACAACAACAAATATTAGTGCTGCTTTTGTTGTTTATTCTTCGGCCGTTGTCACTGCATTCGACGTCGTCGTGACGTTCGATGTGGTTTGCGCTGTCGATGATGACAGCCAGAGAGTCTCCTTTTTGTTGTTGCGGCGTTGGCGGCAGTCGTCACCAATTTGACAGGTAGTTTTTCTGGCTCGATAGCCGGCTCGCTCGCTTGCTATCTAACTTGTTGGTCAGACGGCTGCTAGCTATTGCTGCTTGCGCTACGTCGGTGGTTCCTTGTGCACCAGCAGCAAGTCATGACTCGAAGTCGAGCCGCCACTCTTCCTTCTGATCTCTCTTCTGGCCACTGTTGGCCTGTCAGTCGGTTTCCCGATCGGTCGGTCGTTCGTTCGTTTGTTCACTGGTCCGAGCGTCTGTCAAACGGTGCAGACTCTATGCATACGTCGTCGTCGACGTCGGTCGTCGTCTCGGTCCGAATCCGGATAGGCACTTGCCGACTCGGAGCTTGCCGACTGTCCCGTGGAGAGCGGAGGTGCACGGCAGCGATCGTCAGCCGTCAAACTGTGCACGCTGCTCTGCCGCCACCGCTGCACAAACGCCAACCGTCCAGACCACCGAAAGATGCACCGTCAGTAGTCACTTGGATTGCAAGCTCCAGCGAGATGGTCAGACGGCGGCAACAACAACAACAAAAACAAAAATAATAATACTACTAGGTAACAACACTCTCACACACACACACTCGCACGAGTAGTAGTCGTCGTCTCCCTCTGGTATGAGCAGGAGCAGCGCTCTGTCTGTGGCGGGTGCTTCTTCTGCTGCCGCCGCTAGCTTCTTCTCATGCAGCAGCAGCACCAACACCACACACCAGCTCGCTGCTCGCCTGCCGCCGCCGCTGTGAGCGTAAAATTCGGCACGTACGCTTGTACAGCGTGACTCCGAGACGGTCGACGGGGCACTTCAGATGGAGAACATCGTTCTGCAGATGGCCCAATGCTCCATTGCTTGCAAAAAGGATGCGGGGCGAAATTCTGCGAAAAGGGAATCTGTTGACGGGAGAGTGAATGTAATGATGGCGATGATCTCTGCGGAATGAACGGATGGGAGCGGGCGGCTCCGCCAGTCAGCTCCTTCGAACTCTGACCCGAGAGCCGGACGACTCTTCACGGAGCGTGGGCGCATCTGCGACCCACACTGGGGACTCCCGGCACGATCGGTCTGAGCAGACTCTCTTGGAACGACGCTGACGCTTCCTCGATTCCGAGATGTTCGACTGGCAGGGTTCCCCATCCCGATCTAGGCATCCTCGATCCTGAACGCAAGTCTGCGAGATTCTCGGTCATTCGCGGAGCTTGCTTCATAACTCGATTGCCTCCGCTGGCTTATCGAGGAAATTGCAGCGGATCCGGAACAATGGTGAAGTCTGCGTTCCTCTGGCGATCTCCTTATCATTGGGTTGACCTGTATGACGTCACCAGATGAACTTGATAGGCTGCCACTCTGTCTCGAAGGGCGCGCTAGATTCATGCTTAAGTTGCCAGGGAAATCCGGGAAGTAGACAGACCTCGTGGAAGCCTCCAATTTTTTATCCTCGCCTGCCCTAAGCTTCCACGCTAGGAACTGGAACGATCCATGTCCGAGAATTGGTGTCTGAGAAAGACTCCATCCGGGCCCCAAGAATCAGCTTGTGTTCCGGGACGGAACCGACGCAGCTCGCTGGAAAGGATCCCGCCCGAGCCCACTCTAGCCTCCGCCTCAGTCGCAAACAGAGGGAAGATCGCCTGAGGTTTCCTCACTCTTGGCGAGCGGCGATTGCACCAGAGAGGATCTCGATAGAATTAGCAATGCAACGAAACTCCTACAAGTGCGAAGTCACTATATGTCGGAGCTGAGACATGATTCGATCATGCTTTCCAAGCTCCCTGTATCGATGCTGAAGACAATTCCTCCGCGAAATCCCGATGCTCTCTCAATGATGTAGAGGCAGTTTGCTGTCTACTTGGGGAAGACCCTGCAAGTTAGAGCATTCTTCACCCTCTGGATTTCCGTTTCAATGATCGCCTCCAATCAGATGGACTCCTCCAATGAGAGCATATACTAGCAGTACGCTAGTATATGTAGAGGATCCGGTTCTCGTTCCTGATGGCCTCAACGCGCAACACGCTAATTGTGTGATCGGGGAACCTCAATCGAGAGGATGTCTAGCTTCATTCGTGTCAGGCCACCGTATCAAGGCGCTCTGCTCGATACTTCACGAGCCTGTCGTTTGGTAGCTGTTGGGACGACCAATAATGCTCCCAGAGCTAGATCACAATTAAAATAAGCGCGCGTCGAACGCTTGAAAAAGAAGGAACGAGAAGTCGACGTGAACATCACCCTCCCTTGAGCGAGCCGGACGATCATGAACACGTTATCGATGGAGTCGTATAATAAACAACACAACTGAGCTGAGTGAAATCGGCGTGATTTCTGGAAGATTAAGATAGCCCCGCCAAATCTCGCCGAGTAAGTACCATGATGAGCAGCATGGCTAAGCGGCGGATGGCTCCCGAGAAATAATGCCACTCCTGATCCTGACCGTAGCTCTACAATAGTCCACTGCCGTCGTCATTCAAGGGGGCTAGCTGCTGCTGCGGGTACAGGGGGAGCGTCGGTTGGAGATCTGGCGGAATGCGCTGACATTGAATGGCGGTGTTCTGCCTCGGAAAAGCTGCGATTGTTTTCCATCACTACAGGACACCTCTGATGGCATCATCTTCCTCGAATTCGAATTCGAGGATTCCTGGTCGAGAAAAACGCGTGGGTCAAGCATCGACGATGGTCCGAGTTCTCCTTGAGCCCTGAACCTCTAGCGCAAGACGGGGCATCGATTCCTCCATGTCTTTCCCCGTGAGAAGAAGACAGCGCCGATAAGGGGAGGATCACACAAGCGTTTCGGTAGCAGTCGCATCTCGTCTTTCATCAGCTTACTCGAATTTTGGCGCCACGAAAACGAAACCATTGCGCAGCTTCCCCGTACGAGTCTTTTCAGCAGCCTTTTCGCTCGTGCTGCTCAGGCGGTGAAAATTGTGAGTGAATTCCTGTGGAATAAATGGTCTTTATCGAATGGGAAGCGTGGCCCGGAGCTCGGAGAGCTCCCGTATTGGTCTCTGTCGCCACTAGGGAACCAAGCCTGAGGTTTTGAGTTCCCTGCGTCCGGTAGTGTGTTTACCACGTGGAATAGGTCTCTGTCGGCATTTCACCCCGGAATCGTCCGGTCCATTATTGTTAGAGCCGACCTGTGCTGGAAAACCAGGCCAAGCTAGAATCGAAGTACCTACAAGTTTGCTCGGGGTCGTACGAGAGACCGGCTCGGTGTTGACGTCGAACTCTACGGCATTCTCGGACGTTGTTGACTGCTAGCACACCTGTGTGAGAGATTCGATACGAACTAGTTCTCGATTTGCAGTGAAAGATGGCTCGGGGCGGAAAAGTCATCCACGACAACCACTTCAGGAAGCATTGGCAGCGTCGTGTCCGAACATGGTTCGATCAACATCAGAGGCACAAGAGGAGGGCGATCAAACGTGCGAATAAGGCCCGTACAATCGCTCCCAGACCCACGGTGAGTCCGACTCCCTTGGCTAACGACTTCTAGCATCTCAGAGGCCGAAGGCCGGTTATGTTTGAGTGCGTGGCCTCATTTCGAGACTACGCGAAACTTTCGAGAAACCTTGTGAACAGGAACCCTAAAGCCTCCTGCGTTTTCCAGAGCCTGTTGCGACCGATCATCACCTGCCCCACGCAGAAGTACAACACCAAGCGTCGTCTTGGACGTGGATTCACTCTCGAAGAGCTGAAGGGAGCCAGTCTGACTGCCAACTTCGCTCGCACCATCGGCATTGCCGTCGATATCCGCCGTACCAACAAGTCGGTCGAATCCTTGCAGAGAAACGTCGCTCGTCTCAAGAACTACCGATCGAAGTTGATCTTGTTCCCGAAGAAGGCCGGCAAGCCCCAGAAGGGAGACTCCACGGCCGAGGAGATCAAGCTCGCCCAGCAGCTCCAAGGCGTAGTGTTGCCCATCAAGCGATCGGTCATCTCGACCGAGGCTCCTCGCGTACCGACTCAAGAAGAGAAGGACTTCCGTGCCTATAACGCGCTCCGCTTCGCACGTCACTCCAAGCGAGTTGCCGGACCTCGAGCCAAGAAGGCCAAGGACGAAGCAGAAGCACTCGAGGCGAAGAAGTAAATGTTTCAATAAATTCGATGTTTATTGAATCTCTCTCGTAATTGTCGATACCCCGTCCTCGGTCACGGAACTCTCGTGGGCATTGAGTACTTCGCTCGTCGTCACCTGTCCTGACGACGCATTCCTGAATTACTTTGTATGAATTACTTTGTATGTACCATGATGCGGTTCTAGAGGTACAACAAAAGCGTCGATGAAATCGGTGAGCAGGATTCCCGAAACTGATCGAATCCGTATAAGGAGGGGATCGGATATGTATCGACCTCGTGGATACTCGTTCACATTGAGCTCATCTATCACTAACAATAAGGAGGGGTCAGTATGCAGGGTCGTCTCGTGCTCAGCATGCAGGGCCGTGCACGACTGTCTCGATGGAGGGATCTAATGCTAGTGCATGCGCCTTTGACAGCGCCCGCGGCTTGGGGAGCCAGCTCTCGCACCGTCCAGCCGCGCTGTTCTTCGACGCAGCGGATGATCTGGAGTAGACTGCTTAAGTTCTTATGGAATACTGAGGAATGGTCTTTCGGCTTTATCATCTCAGTCGCATAGTTGGGGTGAAATGCGGCAGTTCCGGAGCGGAGACAAAAATGTCGGAGAGAGCACTTATCATGGTATCACGACTTTACGACCATGACAGCTTTGCGATTAGCTCCGGAATTCGCCTCGGGATGATGGACGGGTGAACGGATAGATGCGGTTCGATGAGAGATCCAGTCTTTCTGAAAGCAAGAGATGTTATTCATGATTCGGCATCGAGTCGATCAGCGTTAAGGGAAAGCGCTGGTGTCCTGTATGTCCAGCCGCCTTCCTCCCGGAGTGTCCAAGTCGAGTGCAAACTGCGCTTCGGATACTGGCCTAGGGAGTCTCCTCTGTCTCTCAATCGCTCCTTCTGGTAGTGAACATTCCATATTTTTCCTTCGGTGTCGGATAGAATTCGCCGATTTCGCCGCAGTTCCTTCGCTAACACCGTGCAAAACGAGGCTTTCTCTTTTTCTTCGCCGTTTGTCATCGCAATGTTTCGGAGAAATCGATTTTATTCCTATTATCCGCTGGTTTCAGCAATCGAATAGAGGGAGAGCTGCGAGAAGTTCTGCTCATCGAGAAGCTTTCGAATTGCGCGCCTCCATCCGACCTAACGCGAGTAGCACCAAACGAAAGCTGATCCGGCACGGACATCCGCCAGCGCTCTTACTTTCGCTATGGCAGTTTGAGGGTAAGTTCTAAGTCTCCAGTCTAAATATAGAAACTTCCATGGAGTCTGAGCGCTTAGGCTCACGACGCTAAGTCAGCATTCGGTTGACGCTATCAGCCGGTACTTGGATAACGAAACGGGACTTGAACCCAAGCGAAGGGAGGCATCGGATTGTATCTGCCCGTTGAGCCTTAGGGTCAGGGCATCTTTGCGCAGAGGCGGTGACGTACCCAATGAGGTTTATCCGAGGGGCGTCTATTGCTAGTTGAAAACTTTTACCAATAACCCGCCGAGACGACGTGAAATACCGTCGGCTATGGCAATTTTTGCAGGTCGAAAGACCCTCTTTCCATAACCAAAAATATGATGCACGCTTGGATAACGGGTTAACCCCGCCCAAATCCACAAAACTCGCCGTTCACACCGACAGGATGTGCGGTGAGCAAGAGAATGCGGGCACCAGTTGGTGCTGCCACATAAAATATATCCTAGTCCGTACTCCTCTCCCGTCCTCTCCGTCTCCGATGCGGATCTGACCGAGGACATCACTCAGTGGCGTAGTAAGGCGGGGGAGGCGGACCGCCCCGGGCGGCACTTCCTACGGAGCTTTTAGGGGCGGCATTTCGGGGTTTTGCATCCAAAAAAACGGAATGTTTTCGAGGAGAAAATATCTGGCGGGGGCGGCATTTTCGTCGAGCACGGCGAAAAACGGAAAATTTCGAATCACCGCCCCGGGCGGCACTCCCTCTCGCTACGCCACTGACTTCACTTAATATTTGATAGAGACGTACCGTTCACGCTCTCGAAGCAAACCAGCTCGGGCAGGCGTATTCGGGAGTGCGCTCGAAGCTTGATCACTCCACAAGCTTTGAATGATATGACGGGATACGGCTAATGTGCCGGGAGACCGTAGAAAGGCTTGAGAACGCCTGATCATGCTTTTCCGCTTCTAATCGAAGATCGTCTCGAAGACAAGGCCAGCCCACAAGAAGCAGGGAGTTCTCCTGGAAAGGGGTGCCCTATACCGAATCCAGGATGGCTTTGTCGTATGGACCGGATGAGCGAGAAAGGCACCGTATTTCCAAACGCTCGAGGTAGGAGACTGATCCGCCCCATTAGGAAGCTCTCATGCTCGAACCGAGGCAGTTTCTTTCGGATTCCGCCCCGAAATCACTTTCTGCTGGGCTCGTGTAATAGTAATAATTGTTCAGTGTATTCGATCTCATCTCCAGGCTGCTACCTCCCTGCTAGGATCCGGGGATATGCCCAGAGCTAGAGCTCCTATAGCCGCCGGAAATCTTCCGTTTCAGGAGCCGAACACGAAGGGTGGATAGTGGTACTGCCACTAGGATGGGTGGATCAGAACATTACAACTGGAGCCGAGTCAAGGCCGATCATCTTTTCTGACTGGAAATCGCCATGGAGTTTCACTCTCATCACGATTTCTGTCAGATGGCTCGCGACGCATCGAAAAGCAGCGTGTGATTATTGGACGGGATCCATAACTACACGATTTTGATCGACAGCCGGGCTCAACCTGTCGAGAAACGAATGGAATATATTGTTGTGGCTCGCGCTCCGTGCCTTTCTGATCGAAGGCCGATGTGTCCTGATGACTGTTGGGAGTTCTCTGAGGCTCTAAGGTGCTAGCGCGTTCGGGCTGCCGCAAAGTTCCCGGGTACTCCTGAGTTTGCAATCCTTTTCAGAAAAGTCAATCTAGTTTACCGTCTATGAATAAGGTCGAATAAGCCCCTTTCTGATCTATAGTTATATCCCTGGATGGGTCCTACTCTATGCGAGCTCTCTCCGCGAGGAGGGTCTGGTCGAACACAGGTCCGCGGAACCATGCCGCAACGATGCAGTCCTTGAAAGGTGGAGCGCCATCGATCCTGGTCGCGTTTGCAAAGAGAAGCGGATCGCATTTAAGAGGTCAGCCTTGGTACAGCTCACTGGGAAGCGAGTTTGGAGTCTAATCTTCGGCAATGATCCCGAAAGCAGAGCGCGCCGCTCGGCTCATGGCGTTACCACATCCTCTCTCCATATTGTCTCTCCAAAGAGCGTGGTCGCCTGTGACTTCCACGTCGAGAGCGCTCCCCAAACGTAAAACTGCGAAAATGTTACGGATATTGTTCACCATTGCTCGATGGATTATTTACTACCACGTTCTCTATTGGGGTTTCCAACGGTTTCAAGGGAAGAACCTCCTCCGACCATTCATCGATGCCGACGCCTGGAGGCATCCCGTGGAGTACGCTCAAAAATACGGCTACGACGCTGAGCAGCATTTGATCACGACGAGCGATGGTGTCATCCTGGAAGTGCATCGGATCAACTCGAAGACGAACTCTGGCCGCTCGGGAATCCCCGTGATTTTGCAGCACGGTCTTTTCGCGTCGAGTTTCGGTTGGATCGCGAATCTTCCTCATCAGAGTCTCGGCTTCATTCTTGCGGATGCCGGGTACGACGTCTGGCTGGCGAACTCGCGCGGTAATGTCTTCGGCCGGACAAGTGAGAACCAGACCGATTTTTGGACATTCACAAAGGAGCACCTCGCTCTGATGGATCTCCCCGCGACTATAGACTACATACTAAAAGTTTCGCGGAAAACCTACGTGCATTATGCGGGTCATTCGCAAGGCGGATTCCTTCTCATGGCCTTATTGAGTGAGAAGCCGGAGTACGCCCAGAAAATTCGCCTGGGCATCGCTCTGGCTCCGGTGCTGAAGATTTCGAACGCGAGTTTTTTCCCCACCAATCTTCATCGGTGAGTCAGATTCCGATCATTCAAGTCCTGTCGGAAGGCTCGAAGGTCACCGTCGGGAACAGCCCCCTCGCTTCCGGGTTATAGAAGGGATGAGACTCCTCTCAAGATCGTTATTTCGTGCAGACCCGCCTTACCCGTCGAAAAAGCTTGAATTCATCGCTCTACGGTCTTTCTCCTATTTGTGATTCATGTTGTTCGCCCATTGGAAAAATTCCGCCCTGCACTGTCCCTCCTACGTCCTCTGTCTGTGAGCTCCGCCGAGCTTCCGTCACCAAGCCCCGCACCTTGTGATCAGAGCTGATCGTCGAAATCGGTGAGAAAATCGTCCTTCCTTTTCCCGAGCCTTGTGAGTCGTGCAACATTAAGCCCCTTACCTTGAGGCAGAGGATATAGCGGTAGCGACCCTCGAATATTAAGGTTCCTTCCGTTTTTAATCATTATAGAGCTATGGAGGCATTCAGTTTCCTTCCGCCGTTCCCGATGCACAGCCCCGACAGATTGCCTGCAAATCTCGTCTTCAACCCTCTCGTCTGCGGCTTGGTCCCCAGTCTGTGCAGCGCCCTCCTCCGCTTGCATGCTGGTGGGCACGCCACGCAGGTCAACATTTCGCGTTCGGCCGTGTACGCGGGAGGCTTCCCTGCGGGGAGTTCGTTCGCAAACTTCCGGCACTACACCCAAACCATGTACAGCGATCGATTTGCGAAGTACGACTATGGGAAGGAGGAGAATATGAAAATTTATGGACAATCGCTGCCGCCCGAGTATGATCTCAGCAAAATCTCCGGCAAAGTCGCTGTTTTTTATTCTGAGGGCGATGCAGACAACTACGCCGGGAGTCGCCACAACAAATGGCTGATCGAGAATATTCCCAAGAGGAGTCTCGTTCACTCGGAGGCGTTGAGAAATTTTGAGCACTTGGATTACTTTATGGGTATCAACGCCAGAGAGGGTCTCTACGATAAAATGATTGAGCTCATGAAAAGATTCGAAGATTGAGTTTCGAGCGTGTTGCCGTGACACGATCATTGACCACCATCTACGACATGAGGGACCGATAGTGAGTTGTTGTCGGAAATCTCTCGTTGCGACAATCTCGAAATCGCGCTGGATTGCTTCGCGGGCGCCCCTTATCGATCCACGCTCCCTCCTCTCCATTAGAGTCGAATCTAAAGAATCTGTGTTATATTCTCGAATAAAGACTGGAGTATTCAACGTAAGTAGATGATACCGAAAATAAAGATCCCTTCCGGAGCGCTCGTCTCTGCGTCGTTGCGCCCGGAACTTCGCGAGGAAAATCTCCGCTTCTCCTGGTGATTCAGAGCGTCTGACGAAAGTTCCGAGATTCTCATTTTCAGAGAGCGCGAACTTCGGCATCCGTGCGGTCACAGACGCATTAAGCCGGAGCTCACTTCGTCACGTGTTCATCCGACATCTACAACGCCTACTGAACGAGAGTGCCCTACGGAAAAAGAGCGCTAGGTGACCCGGGCTCAGGTTCCATACCTGGAAACGGGTCACCTAGACCTCGTCTACAGGTGGTCGAGTGAGCAGTCAAACTACATGGACTCCATATCCCACAGCTCTTCCCGGGTCTGCATGTGTTCGGGACCGCGTTAGACGCTGAACGAGAAAAGTCAACCATTCAAAGAACACATTGAACTTCTTACTCGCAGTCTGAACTTGTCTGAGCATCTACAGACTGCACGAATGAGCGAGTGAATGTGTGAGTAGGTGAATGGGATCCCGTGCAGAGCCATGTGGTCACCAAACTCAGAGTCTCTCGAACCTACGCCGATTGAGTCTTCGAGGACGATAAACAGCTGTGGCAAATCGGTTCTCGGGCGGCAGGATTCCGAATGAAAGAGAGGCTTCACTCACTCCGAGACGAAACGTCAGACGATTTTCGCCACGAAACTTTCGTCCCGCGAAAGAATTTCGACTTACGCAGCGTGCGCGAATCCCGCTCCTGATTGCTCTCCATTCATCATGTAATGGAGATGCAGCTCGAACCGAGTCTGGAATCGAGAGATTCAGTCAGGTAGGCTGAATGCCACGGAGATGTCCTCTGATTCCCGAGTGTCAAATGGCGGGACGATCGCCCAGCTCTGTATTTGGGCCCACGTAGCTCTCCCATACTCCTCACAAAGCCCCATTCGGATCGTGATTGGGTATTCATGCGATCTTCTGAGGTCCGAGCCGAAGTGAGCTAATCAGTTGAGTCGACCTTCATGACTGTCCAGGAAGGGATCCTTTACCGATCTTCGATGATATTTTATTAAGTCATCATGAGTAATCCCGATTCGGGGTGACCTGAAATATGATCGCAGTTTCGGCAAGAGATCGCGAGATCAGTCGACTCGGGCAAACAGCCTGCAACTGTCGATCCGTGAGCTATTTTCCACATTGCGCGGTGCGGGATTCGCGGCCAATCTTTGGAGATTCGACTGAATGAGGGCGGCGAAAGATCAAGGGTTCGACGGAGCTAGCCCCATTGATCCTGAGACTTTTGCAACGTGGGCTTCAGAAGGGCATGCTGGAGCCTCAATCGATCTCCACTCTCGACTGACCTCCCCGCGGAGCAAGCGGTACGAGGAGAGCAGAGGCAAGCGTCGGCTTGAGGGTCGGACCTGAGATTCACACTGGCCACGCTCCCGATGTGTGTGATAATCTCCGCCAAAGGCGCGCCGCCCCGCGCCGGGTCTGAATCACGCGCACTGGTCAGAAATCTGCGGCTCGATTATCGCAGATGCGCTCCCGCCCTCGAGATGACGACTTTCGCGCGCCTCGCACTTGGTCTACAGATGTGCCTTCCTCCCCGAGGTTCTACACTGTGGCTTGGCCCCGTCAAAGGTCGCTCCCGTTCCGTGACGTCCTTTCCGTGCGAAAACGTCGCTCACTTGGAAAGAAGCGTTTTCGGCGAGTTCTGACGGGGACATTCATCCCGCAGATCTCCAAAATAGTCCGAAGGGCGATCTGAAACGGAGCTCCTCGAATCGAAATGAATGAGTCGGTACGCGAAGCGATGGGGGGGACGAAAGACTCTGTTTCTCATTTTTATCGGAAGGAGAAAAACCTTTTGGATAGCTAAGGTCTCCGCTCGCTGCCCGGAGGCTATCCCAGACCGGATGAGTTTCAGGAAACAGTTTATCTTGCAGTAGTAGCTTGGATGTATGGCGACCGTGTCGAGGAGAGTCCTTGGCGCAGAAGCGCCCGGCATCGGCTTGGAAATCGGATTCCTCCGTTCTCTTTCATCTGCCCATCCCGTCTTTTCTCTGCGCCGCTTGTGTGATCGCCACCGGAGCTCGTGAACGCAGCGAAAAGTACTGTGTTTGAACACGTATCGTGACTCGGACAAGCGGCATGTTGCAGTCGCCAGCGTGAGCTCCAACGGGTATAAAAGCATCGATTCCGATGAGACGCGCATCTTGATTCTGGAAAGGCAGGCCAACATGCAGTCCTCCGCGATATTCCTCGTCATCGCCTGCTTCGTCTTGTTCGCTGCAGTTTTCGTCGTCCCCGCCGTACACGCCGATGATGAGACAACTCCCGCGGCACCACCCGCGGCGAAAGCAGTCAAGGATTTGATCGGGAAGCTGATCAAACCGAAGTCGAAATGAATCCCGGGATCCTTTCGATGGTGTCTCATTGAATAAATATCTGCATTTTAAACTGGAGACTCCTTCTGTTCATGAAGTCGGCGGCTCCGTCGTGTCCGGGCTCTTCGGATCCCGGCCGATTTCCGGCGCTACGTTTGCAAGGGACAAAGAGTTAATATCCTAGGGTCCTAGAGGACTCGCAATCCTGAGCCGGAATCCCCTTCCCGTTCAGAAATCACTCCGAGAAGGGCTCGGAGTGTTTCCTCGACGCTAACGAGCGATGGAGCCCGGGAAAGGAAGGCCGAAGCTTCCTCAATGATATCGCGGAATATCTCCGGAAATTCCGCGAGAATTTCTCTGCGCGGATGTTCCATCCTTCGATGCTTATCGCACCCGTCGGGCTACCTCATTCTTCGAATCCAACGTGATCATGAAATCGAGAGCGTGGGGCTCCTCATTCGCTCTCTCGTTTCGTCTCGTTCCGCGCCTCTCCTCGCTGGGAAATATCTTGTCTCGCTCGGAGCAGGGGCAAACAAGGACTACAGAATCAGCCAAAGGATTAAGCCAAAGCCCCTGAAATTCGGGGATTTCACCCCCGCTTCCCCTCCGATGATTGCCTGCGGTAATGATGGAGCGTTCATCAGGACGACGTCGAGAACCTCTTTTCCATAGTTGAGAACGCTCTCCGGGAATCGGACGGACAAGCTTAGAGTCTGGAAGCTGCCTTGGCCGTGACACGTCTTTTTGTTTCTTCTGAAAAAAAGCTGCAGACGATGCAGCCCTGCGCTGCCGTGACGCTATTTTTCCAACCGAGAGTAACGCAAACACCTGAGAAGTGACAGAGTTTAGCCGTCACGGGAGATGCCTCGACGCGTGGAAGCAAGTGACGATGAGACTTGAACAGGCGCCGCCTGGAGCTGAGTTTGAAGTTCGTTTCGGCACTGACGACTGGAACCGCGGCGCAGACCGTGCTGCGAATCACGCCGAATGTAGTTTCCTGCTCATGATTTCATGGATCTTTGAGTGACTGCTGGGTGTTAAATCGGCTCTGATTCCGACACCCATTCACCTCCTCGAATCAAAGGCTTGTGCCGCCAGAGAATCCTCTAGATCACTCACCGAACCCATTACCGAATCCTTTCTGCATCACCCCAAGCGAGCTCGGGAGGAGCCGGGTCTTGAGGCTCCGTATGGAAGATTGAATGGAAACATGACGGAATCGATTTCGAGATATGACGCAGATCGCGAGTCTTGTCGGGAAAAGGCATATTTTCCTCGAGATCGCGCGGAACATTCCGCATGATCGTCTCTGGAGAGCTCCTCCGAAGTCTCCGTTTGAGTGGAGACGTGACAGCTGCGGGCCCCCACACGGCATCGTCGACAAAGATTCCGGATCATGTGATCAACGCGCAGCTATGAACTCCTCTCAATCAAGGACGAATAGGAAATCGGAAAAGCGAGTCTTTCTGGAAGTTTGGTTTCTCAGCAACTCGGGTAAACACTGGATTACGACGGGGCGACGCGTAACAAGCAGTCTCTAAGTCCCGAAGAGTCCCGAGATGAGAGTTATGTTCGTGGCGGGAGCTTACGATGTTTAGCAGCAGCACCGCGCCGAAGGAAACGGCCGGAGGCATAGAATGAAACTACCGGACGCGAAATAAACTCTGACTCGAAGGATGAACTCCCGGGGAATTGTGTATGAACTCGATGAATTCGATTCCGATCCCTTCCCTCCCTTGTTTACCCTCGCAGAATCCTGATAAACACTCATTTGCTTCTTTCCAACAAGAACTCCGAATGCGGATTCATTCCGCTCCAGAGGGATAGGGGGAATTTTCTCGCATCGACATTCCAGATTCTTGCAAGCGTCAAAGTACCAAATTGGATCTCAATGCCGAAGACGCGTCCTGGACCTCAAGTTTCCCCGCTCTCCGATCCTCCCGAGTCTGGTATACCGATCTGAACATGTGATGTCCCGAATGAGGTCAACACGACACGTGTGCTATTATCCATAAGGTGTTGATTGAAAACAGATCAAACTTCAAAGACCGTCAATCCATGGTTTTCTCTCAGGGTCCTCACCGCCTTCCCTCACGACAGATGTGAGTCAACTTTCGGCCAAAAGAACTCTGAGAACGCAAAATCGACCCAGCGAAAGAATTTCAAACGATTTCGGAGTTCGACAGCGCTGTCTAGAAAGTAGCATGGAAACACATGTTGCTTTGATCGACTCGCCCGCACCCAGAGTCTTCTCGACCGGGGTTGATCCGTCACTCTGGCCGTCGGATACAGCGCACGGATTGAACATGAAAAGAGGATCGGCGTTTGTAATGATGACATTCGGAAATACTTAAAGGGCTCTTGCATACTGGACCTTTCGGCGAGCTTTGAGCTTAATGAGGTTGCTTATCCGTTCGCGAGTCGCAGAATTCGAGCCAAGTCGTTGATACCCCACGAGGAGCGTGCCGCTCCGATAGCTTAACATGAGCCGTCGGGTATAACAATGACACGTGCGCTCGGCCAGCCGTACACGGAGCCCACGGAAACCGTATGGTATTCCCGGTTACCCAGGGAGCGCTGCGTTAATACGTTGACGCGGCTCCGTGATGAAGTGGTCCGGATGCTGGCCGTGGCGGAGCCGGGTTGCCGGCAGGTAGCCAGCCAGCCAGCCCGTTCGCCAGAGCGGAAGCCCCAGGTGGCTAACGGGATCATCCACAGAATAGTAAAAAAAGGTGTTCCAATGCTTCAGAAGACTTTCAATATGTCTGACCGAGCTCATGTGCCTCGGGAAACTGCACGGGAGCTGATTTCCCAGAAGCATAGAGAATCGTTGTGGAAAGAATCCATGATTCGAAGGGTATCGAATCCGAAATAATTATCCTCCAGGAGATGGGGTTATGCCGACGGACACGCGAGCTGGCTCAACGAAACGGCTGAAATCCCTAAGGTACGGTCCGAGACATGCCTGAAGGCAAATATCTAGGGATCACTTAGAACCATGGCTTTATGTGCTCATCCATTCAGGAGAGACCTTCTCGTTCTGTCCCCCCGTGGAAAAGGAATTATCGTTCTCATGAGCGCGAGGCGAAAGACGACTCGAAAATTCATCTGGGAATAGTTTTCCGAAATTCTCGAAGCATTCTCCTCTTCGCTCGAGTCCGGGAAAAATAAGGGAGGATGTACGACTCTCCTCCATCATCCCTCCATATCGACGGTCCCAAGAGTCTGAGTTTTGGTTTCGTGAAGCTCACCACCGGAGGCTCGCTACTCTCTAATATATCGTATAGGTCAGTGGATCGACTTCACAAATTAGAATAAACGGGAACTCTGCTCCCTCTCAACTTTCCAATGAATGAAGAAGATCGACAATCCGATAGGCGATCTCGGATCGGCTCTCTCGCGAGACAAGGAATCTCCTAGTCGCCGAAGTAAATCGGACCACGTGCTTCTTTCTAGCGACCCCGGATTCAGCTGTGTATCATCTGGTTCGAGTCAAGCACATCGGACTCTCTGAACTTCATTCAGAAGACCGACCGCTCCGCTCGTTCTGTAGCAACCCTTCTATTTCCTGTCGAACGAGAGGAATTCACACAGTGCGTGGATGATGTAGGTGGATCTGGGAGGGCGCGGAGCGGAAATCGAACTTTCCGTGGATGCTCTCCAGAAAACCATTCAGTGTTTTTGAGACGCCATATTGGAGATTGTTCCGGCGGTTTGCTATTACGATCAAGACCAGAGCATTGATCTAAAATCTAAAGCAGTCCAGGCTATTAGTAATGCCCGAGATATGGTAGACTCGGACGGACTTTCGGTTCCGCGGGAACGCTCTCAAGAATAGTTTGGCGGCGATCTCAGACTCGGCTGATGCTCAGGTCTGGAGGGCATGTCATGGTCTAATCCCAGACCGCGCTGAGGCCTAAGAGAAAGCTAGCGTCGAGCACGGGATTAGGACACAGACGTTTGACAACATTCACAAGGCAGAGCAGCGGAGCTACGCTTGTAATGGAATTGTCAGAGAGGCACTGACTCAGCGCATCCTTCTTCCCAACAACTGGAATCACCAGTGCCGACATCGCGGCTATCCACGAGAGAATTATTGCAGCAGAGCAGAAATCGGTAATCGCCGAACAGAAATCGCCGGGGAGAATTCGACTTTCGGGGCGGCAATGGCCCTTCATCCCGAAACTTGGGGAGATTCATCTAGTTCGTATCGAGGGTGGACGATTTGAGGAATCGGTTCTCCACATGGGAGTTGCGCTTATCCATGAGGGGATCAGCCTCATTCAGCTTCCGGATTCCGGTCCGGCCTCCTGATAATGTCACTTAGAGCACGTCTGCTTCATCTTCAAGTTCAGAGGACGATGACGAGCATCCGGCGGCGCTCTTCACCAGGTGAGTCTTCATCTGCGGTGAGCGAACGTCCCCGTACTAGCGGTGTATCTGTAGCGTAACGGAGAACGGCATACGGCTTCCGTTAGGATACGCTAGTGTCTGTCGGATCGCGCACGTGGCCTCGGGGGCTATAGCTGTTAAACCAATGGAGCGTATCCGCAGCAATTGTGAAAAATTATTCCCCCCGTCTCGATGAAATCCGCTCGTCAGGACACTTGCTTGATTATTGTTCCGGACAAGATAGATGATTCCGACTTCCTTTTTTCCCGAAAAATATAGCACAATATGAAATTCCTACACCTTGATCTCACGTTGAGCTGACTTCCCCCTCTTCCTTCTCACCGCCTGGAAATCGGTCGGAACGTCCACGCCCTTCCTGTGCCGAGAAGATGGAGAAGAATTTGAGTTTTCATCGAGTTGAAAATGCTGCAGGAAAAACAGCACGCAGGTTGTAAGCTCGGGCCTGCATCTGATTCCCGTCGGAAGATCTGTCGCTTTATGTGGAAGAACTCGTTGTTCCAAACTGCAGGTGTGGGATTCATATCCCTGTCGCTCGAGTCCGAAATTGCGAGCATTGCGATACATAATGAGATGAGAGAGAAATCCTGAGCCTGAAGCGCTCGACGGGATATGTGGAGAGATTAATGTAGGTAGCCCGGTTCTTTTCCGGCTCTTTTGGAGCTCGTTTTCTCTTTCCAGACGAAAAAGATTCATGGGGATAGTTCGGGAAAATTCCCCAGATCATTCCTTCCTTGCATCTTCAATCCATGTTAGAGCAGAACTCCGTCCTATGAGGCAGACGTTGTAGGTTCCGGTCGAAACGAAAGCCCGTGACACCTCATGGCTCCGCCCAACGGACCCCTCTCCAGGCCGTGGAGATCCATAAGAGCCTCTGGATGTGTTTCTAGTCAGTAGATCTCCAGCGTGTGACAACCGAGCCACCCCGTTCCGCTCGGATGAATCCCTCTTCGAACTTGTGAAGAAGCCGGCGTGTTTAGAAGCATACTCGTCGGAAACTCTTCAAGGAGCCGTTCTCAAGTGGCTAGGGTGTACAAAAGGCTTTACACTGGCGACCCCGGCAATTCAGCTCTTCTTCGGAATGGAAGACTTTGTCTCTAATTCGTGTTCTGCGTCCATGTCCCCTCCGACGTTGATGCCGACTACGGATTTCTTCCCCGACAATGTGATACAGGACTGTAGACAGGATACTGAGAGCCGGAAACGCAAGCGGCAATCGGACAATGAAGACGACTGCAGTCGACGTAAGAAGGTGAGAATCTTGATCGATATCTAGTCTTCCCTGCCCTCGGCCCCGTAGAGAATGCCGTTAGTCCCGTGCTCAAGAGCGAGCTGCATTTTTCGCAAGTATTCTCTCCGGTGCAATCCACATGTTCTCAAGACCGGATTTGGCCTCCCGCATTTGGAGGGCCCAGCAAATTCTACGGCGACTCTTAATTCACGCTCCATACATAACTAAACATCTTCCATCGCCTTGCAGCCGGCGAACGATGTGCATAACCAACGGTTCCTGGCGAACGTCCGTGAACGTCAGCGGACTCAGTCTCTGAACGAGGGCTACGCGAGACTCCGTAGGATCATACCAACTCTTCCGTCCGACAAACTGTCGAAGATTCAGACCTTGCGTCTAGCAACGCGATACATCCACTTCTTGGGCCAGCTCCTGGACGGTCAGAGTTCTGACGAGTACCCTGACACGTCGGTGTTCCTCCAGAACGATAAACTGAGTTATGCGTTCTCCGTTTGGCGAATGGAAGGCGCCTCGTTAGAGAACACCGAAGTCAACAATAACGAACCTCATACAGAGTCTTTGAACGAAAGGGATTCGCACCGGTTACACTTCTGTTGATGATATTATAATCGCAGAGGCAATGTGGCGCTCAGATATTCAGAATCTCAGAAAGGCTCGTTGTCTGACGAACGCGACCGGGCATTGTATGGAATGCCGCGCAGTAAACTATCGAGAAGCATCGGCTCCACGTCTGTATATATCTAATCGCCGCGAGCTCCTTCGATGGTCGAAAGCCCTCGATTTGTATATTTTGTTCGGATGATACATGTTATTTAGTGTAATTTATTGTAGAAATAAGGCACAAAGCTCACGAATAAAAGCTTCATGAAGGGAACAGCTGCATCTTTCTTCCTGCAATAAATCGGTCGAAACCGAGATCTTTGCCAATATGTCAACTCCCGTTCGTGAAACCGAGTGAACGCGGAATCCGGCGGGTGAACCGGGCTCAAACACGGGAGGATCCGTGGAAAATTCGAAGCGGCCATACAGAGCCGAGCTCGTGGGATGAGTTGTAAAGAAATAAAGGAATACTCAATTGAGGCCTAAATGAATTCTTTCAAGTGGAAACGACGAGAATCGTGGGAGACGCTGCGGAGTGGGAGAGTTCAGAGAATCGCTCCGGACTGTCAAAGCTCCCACCTGGCCTCCGGACCGTTCACTATGAGTGGCCTTGGAAGCGCAGGGAAGTCGAATTAGGCATGATTAGAGCGCTCTAATTCCACTCGAGAGATGCCTCCAGAGTACTCACACATCGAATCGGTCTAGAACAGAGGACAATTTGGGCGAAATTCGGGTGATAGCAAGGGGATAATCAGATTCCTTCGTACTCCGCGAGCTGAATCCTTCCTCCTCTGTGAGTCCGATCAGAGCTGATCGATAAAGTTCTCGCGCGGATTTCGTCGTCCGCCGCTCCCGCTGTCTCGCTCCCGACCGCTGTTTCGGAACTTCCAACCATCAAGGGCAGCAGCAGCAGCAGCCGTCAGTGTTTCCAAGAAGCGACCGAATGTCACAACATCATCATTGATCATTTTTGGGCGAACTCGGCGTTCAAGTTCTGAAAGCGTCCTCTTCTTTCGTGTCTGGGAGATCCGAGAGAGATCAAGAGTGGATCGGGGAAGGACGAGACGGGGAACCGCTGGGACGTAGCGGTCGCACAGTGACATAATGGAGCAGGCAATCAAGCGACGGGAACTTTCAGGTATCGATGCCGGTCTCTGAAGACTCCCGGGACTCGTTCGCGGATTCTTCAGACTGCAGCGAACCAATGTCTTCATCGAATTTCCCATTCCGCACTCGATTTATTTCGCACACGATCGATTTTGAAGCCACGCGAGCCAGAACTCTTCGGATCTGCAGCAGAGGGCTCCATCGCGCCTCGTTCGAAGAATGGAGACGGTAGCCGAATCGATGTACGAATTTCATGCTGTGTCCGTAGTCGAAGTCGAACGACATCCAGTCGACACTGGAAGTGGTTTACCCGGGCCGCTTCGAAGCAGGGACCTCTCACTTGGTGTCTCGTCGGTGTTGTTTGGTCTTTTCTCCAGGAATGCGCCTCATCCGAACAACTCATGAACTCGGAACGGGTCTCCCTCCTCATCTGAAAATGCTGCAGAAGAGGCCGTTAGTGGGGCGACTCCGTAAGGAACAACAAAGAGCGTTTTATGGAAACTTAATGTGGACGGCGGGGGAACACAAGGGAACAAGCGAGAGGGGGAATGAATCAGCGAACAAGAGGCAAGAGAACATTTCTTCTTTGTTGAAGGCTTCCAACGGAATGCGCGAACTCGATCCGACGGATGGCTCGGATCTCATCGAGACGGAAGAGAAGATCCCACCGACGCCATTGTGCTCCACGAGACCTGAACTGACCTTTTCCTACTTACATCTCTCTGCATCGATACTCCAATGTCCTCCATCCTGAACTTACGATTTTGCATACGTCTGTATTTTGCTGTTCGAAGCGTCGTTCCCGGGAGCTTGTCCAATCTATGGCTCTTCCTCGTCATAACCATCGAGGCAGAGAGAGGGAAGTGTTTTAACTGAAGCGCGAATTATCAAGAGCTAGGGGCCTAGACATATCCTGAGTCTCCGAAGCGTGACCAGCTAAAGGCCAATATGTCTAGACGACTTAGCCCGATTTCTGAGCTAATTTTAGAACCGTGTCGGGCACGGGATCGGGAGGAGAGAACCCCGGGGGATTTCGGAAAGCTCTAACCGGCATCAGCTCCCGGTACGGAGCTGCACCCAAACACACCTGTGAGCTCTGCTGACAAACGTCATAACATCCGGAATTCCCGACAAGAGATCGATATCGGATGATGCAAAGAAATCTCCGATGCGTTCACTAAGGCTCAGGCGTAAGGGTGCAGTTGAATTTTCTCAGGCGCTTCATCGGGTCCGGTTCGGCGCTCAGAACGGTTAGGAAAGACGAAGGAACGAGAAGAAACACAGCAATATTTCTGCACCGGGATTGCGAAGTGTAGTTCGTGGATTCCGAGAGCTCGGATCTCATGCTCGGACGAAGAGAGTCGATGATCTACGAGTCGCCGTTTCGAATCCACAGCGCTCCTCCGGACCGGACCGGAACAACCTGACTGTCAAAGCTCGAGAGGCCCTTGGAACTTAAAGACAAAATATCGTCCATCAGACTGTAGGTCACTCCGTTTGCTGCTTGTCGTAGACATTAGGCGAACCATCTCCAGCGAGCATAGAGACAAAGAGAGGAAAGACAGAGCGAGGCAGAAGTGGAGAGATAGGAAGAGACCTTGGTTCAAGTTCCATACCTGGAACCGACTCACCGAGCGGGGATGCGAGCCGCTAAGAGACACCACAGAGTAAATGCGGTACGAGACAGCGGCGGCGGTCTGCATGTGGTCGCTCTGGGAGTGCATACACACTCGGGATTGATTCACAGTTCGCAGTCAATAAATATACCACCACACGCTCAAGGTGACGGTCTGAATTTCTTCCAAAGGACTCGGAATGAATGAGGGTGCCCGTATGTTGGGAACGATCGTCGTACACCATGTGGTTACCAAACGCAATGGGTGCCGACATGCTCACTCCCGACCGGACTCAAGGACGGGAAGCTTCGCCTCCGAGCCGATCCTGAACGCTTGGGACAAATGAACGCGAACCCGGAAATACTTCGGAGTCTCGGAACAGATCTAACGTCTTCATCGAATATCGTCAGCGCTTACTATACGCCGTAGAGTGTTTCCGCTCCTTATAATTTGAGGAAGCTATCCAAGGAAGGGATTTGACTTTGTTCCAGTCGAATATTGTACACAGTCTCCAAAGTAAATCGATTCCCTTCGATTTCACCGCATACATCAACATGGTCCGAATCGCAGTCGCTCAACACGAATGCGAAATATGGGACTCGTGGTGGAAAAGTCGTCCAGAACACGAGATCGCTCAGCATCGTTCCCATCGTCAAGGGAGACTCTTTCCAGGAGTGGCCTCAGAGTCATCACGTTCAACTCCCACGCGCTCGCCACCGCATTCTGATCGCTGCAGCGAGCCAGTCAAGGGACGAATCCAGAGACTGGCATGCCGTTGATGCCGAACTCTAACGAATACTTGAATTGATCGGATATATTCAAAACTAGAAGATGAATTGAAGTTGAAAGATCGGAAGCCCTAAGATTGACGGGTCCCACAAGTTAAAACCCACAACCGACCCGATCCCATGCTCCGTGCATGAGGTCATTCTATGGATGGGGAGGCTCGGCTCACAGGTGGCGGATAATGAATAATCGTCAATAATCGGCTAAGGGACAGCGTGGATACAGCCATGCAGGGTAGAAATGATATCCATAGTGTGTTCCGAAATCGTCTCCGCATCTCGCATTGCGCATTCGCGGGAGTCGCCTTCATATTGTTCGGAAGTATAGCTCCAGAATGATGCCATAATGCGCAATAACCACTATCATAGAGGCGCATCAATCTGATATCAAATTACACGAACTCCCACCGCGTCGCTTTCGATTGGTTTCTTTGGTGAACTCCGTCACCTGTATCAATTTTGCGACCAGACCACGTACCACTTCCCTCCACGCGCTCGATATGACAGCTAAATCACCGGTCAGAAAATGGCCAGCTCCCAACGTATAATTTCCGACTCGATCTTTCTACTTTGATATTTGAATCGGAAGCCCGTCGAACGATCACCTTCATCCTGAGCATGGGTGTCAGCAGCGACAGCTAAGAATGTTTTCAAACGCCTCCGCTCGCGGTTATTTCTATCGCCTTTTCTCATGCATCATGGGAATCATTGAATTTGCCGGAATGCTGAAACACTTTGACATTATCCACGATAAAGCGTCCCTCGTGAAAGCAAGAAGGCTGCTTCGTGGGAGTGCAGCATTACTCCAGAATGTGACAGCGACGAAACGCTCCCGCGGCACCCTGACCTCTCTCAGTGAGAAAAACATCTTGGAAACATTATCTCCGGCCAGGAACCTTCACTTGCCTTATTTTTTGCCGTACCAAAACTAGTCGATGGGATTCAATCATCGTAGAAGCCCAGGGAAATTCTGCGATTTGCCGGGAGAATCTTTCGGTGAGAGTCGGGAATTTTATCTCGCAAATGTCCCAAACGAATGACCATCTGCAGGGAAGAGCGACTAGAATCATTGCATCTTTTTCTGTCGATACATCAACTCATCCAGCGCTGGGAATCGATCTCGATCAAGAAATTCGAGCTACCTCGAGACCCTCCCCGGACTCCGCAACGCGCTTATTGTGATTCTCGTTCCGCAAGACCAATCCGGATAGGAGCAAATCCCCAGATGAGAGCAGTCCGCGGGAAACTCTCGCTTAAGAGCGTGATTTTGCTCCTTCATGCCGGAGCGAGTTTTCGAGTGCACGGGCGGAAATTTCGTGTGGAGAGACCGATCAATGATACCGCCACAGAATTGCCGCGGGAGCTCCTCTCGCATGTGATTGGACCGGAAGAACTTCTGTGTATGGAGTGCCCAAGCTGCTTCCGATGCTGGACGGGAGTCAAGGACGAGGAGATTCCAGCGCTAACAAGCGATCCAGACGCCCTGATT